GGATTTATGACTGGGTAAGTTGAAGGTGAAGTTAGGTTTGCCTCTTGAGATCGCGCTTGAGTTCGCGCTTGAGTTCGCTGAAGTGTCGATCCGGTGTACACGTAATGCAAATTCACATAAACATGATTCTACAAAGAGTATGTTACTGTGGCAACCATATCTTTCTGCTGAATTTGATACCAACACTCGTCGCATTGATGCAATTTTTCGTTTCATAATTCCTGTAACATTTGTTTTGGTGTTATTTCCTTTGGTTTACTAGGAATCTTTAAAACAATTTAATACAGTCCATTGATTGCAGGAATGAGTTGCACTATTCTTTTGCGTTCCTCACTATATTCATGAAGCGGAAGTGGCTATGGATTTGTTAATTTGCTCAGAATTGGGTACAATATTGGATTTGGGATTACTAATTGTCGATTTAAAAACCGTTCTGTCTCAATTTGAGCATTTACGGAAAAGCAACCAGTGGCGCCCACAAAATTGTCAGGTTAAAAAATAACGTCTTAAACAGCAGGACCGTGGGATTGTTATCATAGGCAAAATTCACCATGCTATGTCACGTTAAAGTCAACACTATCCGTACGTCGTATTACATTACAAACGTACGCGCACACATTCATCGACGCCATTTATTTAAGGTCATGGTTCGCGCAATTACCCCTATCCATTTTTCAAGGGCCATAATGAGGAATTTTCCCCCTCCATGGCCATCATGAGGCAGCCTGACCAGCTGCTCTCTTCTGTTATATTGCGCATGCAGCTTCGGCCCATCAGGCAATCGACTTCCAAAAGAGGCTGTTAAATAGCACCTGCGAATCGGTGGCCGATTCGCGACTGATTCATCTCTAAGCCGACTCGGTGGCCACTGGTGCGATCCGAATTGGAACTAAAATATAGACAGAGGCCTTGCTGATATCCGAAACATTTTCAATGAATGAAACTGTGAATTTACCTGGCTTTTTCTTAACTTTTAAATCCATGCTAAAGTAGCTATTTGCACAGGCCAAAAACTCATATTCACTCATTCTATTTTATATTCTCCTTGAGCATCAATCGTCCATTGTCATCAACATGGCATCTGAAATCGGAGTTCAAATGGGACATGTCTGGGATTTGACTTCCTCCTTTTCCTATACACGAGAACACATTTTCGTTTCACGGCCAGGCGTCTCTGTTGGAAAAGGAAACGCTGCTCGAAAAACTGGGGGACTCCTGGGACTGGACGGAGGAGAACGTTACGAACCTGAAGCCCATCCTCTTCCATCTGCCCATCGCCATGCTCGTCAACCTCAACGACACGCACGCCATTGACAGGATGTGGGTGCTTGAGCGACTCGAATTGAATCTATTTTTCTCCTATTAACACCTTTTGAAACATTAACGAAACGAATTTTTTTCTTATTCACTTTTTTCCCCTCAATGAAAATAGCTTGAGCGGGCTACAAAGGGTTTATGTTTCGCTTTAATATCACTGAAAGAAGCACAATGAATGCACAAAAATAATTTTGTGGGAGGGCAAAGGAATATTTCGGTCTTTTAGACGTCTCTATCAACAATTAAAAACTGCACAGGTACGCAGAAGTAGAGTTGTGCATGAACAACACGGGCAACAAGTCAGCCTCGTGCCCGAGTCAGGCCGAGTCTAGGGGCGAGGGGACAACACCGCGCGCCCAGTACATGCTGTCGCTGCGGGCGTGGCTCATCGAGAAGACCTACGGCGACCCCAGCAACTGGGACCGCGACACCTTCGCTAAGATGACCAACCTCAGCATCCTGCCCGACGCTGTCTTCCTGCGCCTACAGCCTGACGTCCTCTTGACCCGCAAGGATGGGATCTTATCTGTGAGACAATACTGTATTGTAACTTGAGACGGAATATTCGCACATATTGAAATGGTCAGCTCTGAGGCCGTAATCATAGCATACAATCCAACATCAACTAACATTTTGAACAGGTTCTTCTTGGAATTTTACTCTCCGCCTCAATAATGTTTAATAATAATAATGTTTGAAAAAATGTTTATTAAGACATAACAATTTTGGGATTTTCATCTAACGCTTCTTTCACGTCACCCTTGCTGAAATCAATGTAAAATTTCTGAACTGGCTTGCTTTTCTTGATGGTTTACAACTGTGATGTACTTCTCTCTGAAAGATTTTTTACCACTTAAAGACGCCATGTTGTCTATAAATGGTTCCAAAATGACATATTTAGAGTGTTTCATGAATTTTTGGCTCAACTGAGCAATGAATAACAGATCTTCTTCAAATTTTTAGCAATACTCCCTGTTAATATTTGACTTGATCTGAATACTCTGTTTTTCGTTCTGAGGAAATTTCATAGAAAACAATTATGACATCGCCTAACTTTGTATGTGTAGGTAGTAATTTTTCATAAATTACTATGTTGTTTCGGTTCCTTCCTCCATTTTTTCCCTATCATAAATTTCTAAATTCCCATACAACAGGTCGAACATCAGTTGGAAAAGAAATGCTGGCGAGTCTATTCTGATTTTTATTAATCAATAGAATCACGTTCGAGATCTTACGGAGAGATATTTTTGTAGTAAGAAAGCGAGGCATAATAATAACATACCGAGACATCGAAGAAAGTGACGGGCATCACTAACAGTTGTGTTACTGAGGGGTAAATTGGACAGAAATAATATGAATTCGATTATTTTCATTCATTCACTGTACTGATAATAAAACGGCTACACGGGTTAAATAATTTAATGAGTACGATATAAAAAAAACGATTAAATTAGGTATAGAATAGAATTAAAATAAAAATAGAACGATGACTTCAGCGACCGTTGGTTGCGAATAAGGCGTTATGTTGAGATTGCAGGGAGACACCTAACACAGTACATCACCGCAGATGCTGCGTGGCAATGCACTGAAGCTGAAGTCGCTGGGGCGCTACGTCGTGGAGAAGGTCTTTGATGCCGAGAACGTGAGTCGCAGCAACGCCAGACAGCCGCTCGTCTCGCAACAGGAAATAGAGAGGGTATACATATTTATTTATTGTTGTCTTCCTTCCTCAGTTACCAGGCTTTTGAAAATGAATGAAAAATAATTACATTATATTAGGAATTAATTAATTTATGGGATATTAATTATGTTTATATTATTTATATTAATTATCATAATATTAATTATATTAGGAATCATTAATTTAGGAATTAATTAGGAATGAATGAAAATAATTACATTATATTGTTCAACCAATGGGTTTGTATTCGTGTACCTAATTTCTAACTTCGACTTTGTCATACAATCATAGGTGTCATTAGAATCATTGTGCACGGCATGTAAATTATAATATTCACAGTTTGTCTTTCGTGTTTGAAGAAACAGATAAATTAAGCTGGATTTTGACCGTGAATGGCATAAATGTGACTAACATATCGGTGGCATAAAGAGCAGATTTTGTTATAATAATACACGTGTATCATGTGTACTGAGGGAAAATTAGTAGGAACGAAAAAACAAAATGCACAATAAGTAACTTACAAAAATATCAAGTTAAATTAATGTTGAAATGTTTGATAGATCAGGATATAAAAAAGTTAAAAAAAACTCGTTTAACAATACCAAATTACGGCTGATTGTTGATTTTACGATTGTATTATCCCCCAGGGGGATCTTCTTACGCGTGTCTGCTCCTAAGAAGTCCAATGGGATTTTATGTTCCTATAGGATTTACTGTTCCTGATGGCCCCACTGGTGATCTTGCAGGATCTTTCGGCGTGTTTCTCAGTTATTGGGTTAGGATGTAATGGTAGGATTTTTCACAAGTCCCTCTATCTCTCGTGCAGACAACCGAAGTCCCATATATGCCAACGCTTGTTCGAGTGTCTCCGTTTCTGTTGTTTTTATCTTCTGTCCTTCCTTTTCACTTCGTCTCTTTGAGATGCTAACGCTGTTTCTTTCAAGCCAGCTTCAGCGGGATAGACAAATGAGACCTCTCACCCTCTGTGGGTGATGAACGACTGGACAATTTTTTGATAATTAAGACCCTCCGCCTTGCTGGCATTGCTAATTTTTTTACCTCCAATAGCTTGATATCTGAAGCGTTAGCAAATTATGCCGCTACCACTACTCGATTGTACTGTATGACTCTCAATATGTTAGTCACAATTTTTTCTCCATGAGTGACAGATCAAGGCCGTGATCAATCCGCTGCGCACTGCAGGCCTCATGCAGTTTGTATACGCCACCGACCTGCCCAATGAGGTGCTAGACGCCGACAACAGACGCATCCGCAACGAAACAGACACCATGACCAGCGCAGCACTTCAGGATGGTGTCATAGATGCCGAGGTGTGTCCTTAAGGCGTGCCTTAGGGGGCACTAGTTATTTTATTCGACCACTTCTTCCGAGTGTGATCCTTTATTTATTGCATGTATACCCACAGCATATCATTGGTCCAGCTTTAGCGTATCCTTTTTTATGTCTTTAGTGTGTGTCCACTATGAAATCTGGGAACTGGGAGCCCATCGTAGTGGCATTGATAAACATGTTGTCTAGGGAGCTCATGGGCGAGTGTGCTGAATATCAAGTATTATTAGTCCCAATATGTACCCTGTGGCAATTGATTTTGCAAGATTCTCTTTTTATAATAGAGCAAAGCCCTCTCTCATTGAAGGGGAAATATTATTACTGACATTCGTCATTCATCGTGGTCAAATATTGGAAATCTATGTTATTTATTCAAATATATTAAATGCCTAAGAACGAATATTAAAGAATAACAGAATGAATACGTCTGTACTCGTATAAGCACCGACTGTATTCTTGTTCCTGGCAGATTTACTCTCAAACGTCGCATACTCTTTAGCGTATTAACGCACTCTGGCTTGTGGCTCAGTCTCTGTAGCCCCTGAGTAATCCGAATGCCCGGCATGACTCGGCATGGTCAATCCTTGCCATACTTTCAAAACGCGATAAAGCAGTTTCCATACTTACCAGTGGCTGATTCGTTTTAGGGGTGAAGCAGACTCAGTTTATGTCCAGCAAGCCGAATGTAGCATCCAGGGCCCATTCTTGCAAAAAAGTTATGAGATCGTAAGTTCATCAGCCAATCATTGACAGCCTTCCAAGCAAAATTCACCAATCATAGACAAGAAATAGTGCGTAAGTACTTACTTTCACTTAGCGAGTCTTGAAAGTATGGTCCCAGGACCCTATGTATCACGCGAATGTTGTTAGGATGGTCATGACAACTGTGTCATCAATGATCTATTTTAATTGGTGTCATTAGAGATAAACGTACTTTTTTCTAAAGAAGTTTATCTGAGTATTCCAATTTGCGCTCTAAAATTGGCCATTATAAGCGCCATTACCAGAGCTTTAACTGGCCGAAGCAGCTTAAAGATGAAACCATATTTTACGCAGTTAGGTTAGTTAATAACATGTAAAAAGATATAAAATATATATAAGATATTAATAAATACTCATATAAAAATATGTGATTATGAGGAGATTTAACATATTGTATACACTACTGGGAGTAAATACTAATTGATTTTAAACAAAATTTAAATCTCAATTTCGCAATTTCGATCAACACTTTTTTTTATTCCGATATAGTGCTTAGCATTTGAATTTACAATTGCTCAATCTACGTAACTTAAGCAATCAGAAGTTTATTTTTTTTCCTTTAAGGTCCTTGAAGCTAACATACAGAGCCTTCTCAACTACACGCAGCCCTTCACCAGCGAACAGATCCAAATACTAGGTGACTGTTTGGATGATATGGTAGTTAAATACTGTAAATAAAGTAAGTAAATAATTTAAAATAAACAAATAAATAGAAATAAAAAATAACTAATAAATAAAGGAAGTTCGTGTGTGCGTCCTTGATCAGCCTTATTACGAGACAAAGGCCATGTACACGAGATGTTAAGTACACGAGAATATCTGCAATTCAACTAAAAGTTTATCATCTAATATCCAACGTACTTTTGACTCTGTGACCACTAGTCACTGTAACCACTAGTCACTGTAACCACTAGTCACTGTGACCACTTCATTGTGACCGCTTTATTGTGACCGCTTTATTGGGACCACTTTATTGTGACCACTTAATTATGACCGCTTTATTGTGACCACTTTATTGTGACCACTTAATTATGACCGCTTTATTGTGACCACTTTATTGGGACCACTTTATTGGGACCACTTTATTGTGACCACTTAATTATGACCACTTTATTGGGACCACTTTATTGTGACCACTTAATTATGACCGCTTTATTGTGACCACTTTATTTTGACCGCTTTATTGTGACCACTTAATTTTTACCGCTTTATTGTGACCACTTTATAGTGACCACTATGTACTGGGTACTTACCTAGAACGAATACAAATTGATCCCGATCAACCGAAAGCATATCCTGTTAATTTAGTTTTTACTACGTGCCCAAAATATCCTTATCGAGCCCCACAGGGATGAACCGCCTGGCGCTGGCGTCAGGCCTGATGCTCAACCGCACTCTTAGAAGATACTCCATCTCTGCCGAGGACCTCAGGAAGCTCGTGACGACCATCCAGAACACAGCAGGCAGCACCGCCAAAGCCAAGGTGAAGAACCGGGGCCTTTGTTGACATAATGTTAATCTAATGTTGATGTAGCGGAAATATTATGGTAAAATAAAGATATTGCAATCGTAATGTAATGATGATGTGACTCGATCATATGTAGTGGTAATGTAATTGTGATGCTATGACAACCCTCAGCTGATGCTGATCAAAGACAAAGTGTTCTTGTATACTGACTTACTATTATATTATTGATCATACTTGCTGATGATGTAACGACAATGTGTTGCATCACTCAGCTGATGCTGATCAAGAATAAAGTGTTCGAAGTTGCCTCTGGTGGAGGGACGACGCTGGACCTGAACGCCGTGCCTGACGAGCTCCTGAGCGTGGCGCCCTTGCAGTACCTCGATGGTCTGTCCATCACCAGCAGGATCTCCGCGCTGGGCAGAAATGCCTCCTACAATACGGCACAGATGGCCACCCTCATCTCAGGCGTTAGTAGTGGCTATTCTTAAGTCGGTTGATTTCCTGATTAATATTTTAAAAAGTAACTTAAATCTTTTTATTACAGTATAGGTTAAGGAAATACTACCACTTGAATCGCTGAAATTAATCTCTTTCGTGACATCGAATATATATGGTATCAGTCATATTTCTGACTCTCAAGTCTACTGCTGCATCACTGAGCCTCAACACTAAATCACTGGCCAATTTCAAAACGACAAGGTTGAGCTGAAAATCTAACTGCAGCTCATTTCAATTTGATAGCACGCTTGAAGATTTTTTATGATTGCAAGATGTGCAAGGTTTATACAGAAATCTTGATGAAAACGTCAGATACCGTTCGGGTTGAAACATTATATATTCATTGGCATTCGATAGTGTATGACACTTGTGAAAGGCACCTGTCACTCATTTATATATATATTTTTTGTAATTATCAACTTTTTAAAAGATCTTAGACAAAGGAAAACAGTGTCATTCAAATTTCAATAGGTTATACATTTTCCTTGCGACAGAAATGCGTTTATTTCATTTATAAAATGCGCATTGCAATGCGTTTATTTAATTTATAAAATGCGAATTGAAATGCGTTTATTTCATTTATAAAATCAGATTGGTTCAGACCGACTCAGTGATGTACCCAGCAACGCCAAGGAGGCCCTCCCCACCAAAATATACAAGGACCTCAGCAAGGGCGAATTGTTGGCGGGGGCGGTCGGAATGCTTCCATCATCCAAGATGGTCAGTTGTTTGTAGTAAAAATTAAGTGTTCAGATTGAGCTGGTGTTCCAATGTCATTCGTTCATGAATTGTAAGATGTTTAGTTGAGCACTAAAAAATTCACCTACATATGCTGGTATTGATCGAAAATGATATTCACAGTATTGAAAAGGAAATGTATCATGAGATTAACGGTAAAAAATATGTTCTCACACTTTCATTATGCAGGGCCATTGATTAGTGAGTTCAAATTATCTACAAATTGATTGCCATCTATGTCTCAGGGTCTTACGATATCGGACAAAACCTTCAAGACAGCGGTGAACATGAACTTGGATGCCGATGCGGCCATGTTTATACAGAAGATGGATGTCTTCAACATCCCGCCGTCCGACATCATCCAGCAGCTTGAGTACATGAAAGATGTCTTCCCTTCAATCGACGCGGTGAGTGCAACACCTCTCAGCGACCTAATCGTTTAATTTTACCACACATGGCGAGATTTAAGTTATTTCTGTGGTGAGATTCAAGTTAAAGATAACTTCAGATGGCATTTGAGCAGGATTTCATCGCGGACCCATGTGGGAAAGAGAAAACAATATGGCAGTGGTAAAATGTGCCAGCCTTATCAGACAAATCTCTGAACTACGGGCAGAATTCAAATATATCCAGAGTTCAAGAATTCAATTCTATTGTTTGACCAACGCTGTTAAGCGCTTCTGCCGATGTAACTGAAAGGTGGAGCGAGAGGGCATCTCCCTATAATGACCATCGAAGAACGATTGAACGTGTTCCAGAAAAAAAATCCCTGATAAGATTATTAAAAAATATATATCAGAATATAAATTTAATTCACACGTACTGTTTGCAATAGCCTCGAAGTACGCTTTAAATGGTAATAGAAACAACTGAACCATGATTACCGTCAAAATTTACCTTGCAATTAGTGATATTATTAGACGTTGCTGAGCCCAGATGTAATCTATCATTAATTATTGTCCATTTTAATAAAACAACAAAGTCATCACGATATTTTGACTCCATTAGTCGACTTCATTAGCTAAACAGCTGATATTATGGAACGAAATAAAAACAAAAGAGACAAGTAAAAAATTAATCCTAAATAGGCTTTGCAGCCACGCAAAATCAAGTTCAATTCGCACGCCAAATGGTGCCAAGTGACCACCGCTAGCCCTTTTCAAGAAACATCAAATATCGATAGGTAATACAGAACATTCAGTTTCTATCTACTTGACTTAGAAACTACGCTATAAACTTGAAGCATCTGACAAAAATGAAATCACATAAACTGTCCGACAACAGCTAATTGTTAGGAAACTGAAATATCAAATTACGATAGTTTGAAATATCAAATTCAGCGAAACTTTCGCATTGAAGCCGCTAGATTTCAGCAAAAAGTTTGCGATTGTCAATGCATTTAGGCAAATAAAAATATAATGAAAATAATGATTATGATTTTATATTGTAATAATATTATGCATATGTTATTGTAAAGCTCTAACAACGCTGAGTCTGCAAAATTATCAATAACACAGTCAACTTCTTGCTTCGCAGTGCTGGATTCTCCAGCTTATCTACATGAACTACTCGAAGATGGAGATGCTGGTGGAGTGGGGCGAAAACGGTCAGCTTCTCACACCCTACACCATTGAGCTCATGCCTCTCTGCGTCGCTACAGATTTGAGGTGACTATTGAGCATCGCTTTTTGGCTGTTATATCTCAACAGCTACAAAATACCCATACCGAGGCAACCACCAAAACAATGTCGATCACCTTAGTAGCGACCGACAACCTACATACTACTGATATAAAAATAAATTAAATATAATATTTGTATTTGAAACCATGTATCGCAATCTTTATGGTACAACGGACAACAGTTATTCATGAACTTGAATATAAAACATAAATCCCCTTCAGAACAGCACAAGTCGAATAAATCGGATTTGAATTTGTCTGTAGGATTGAAGAGCATTATGATCAAAGTGGATTATCAAAGTGTCTCACATAAATGAAATATGATAACATGTTGATGATTTTTATGATACCGAAAACAGACTAAAACCAAAATTAAATTGATCAATCAAAATTTTACCAAAACAATACGTTTCTCAATATTAAACGTCTAGGAGCCGTAGATCTAATTCGTTACGAAGTTTTTCAAATTTGAAGCCCAGTTATCTATCATTAAAAAAATCCATGATGTAACCTGAAACAATCATCTCAGCCGCCAGAATCGCATTGGGAAACTAGATGAGGTCAGTAAGAGAATCCTGCTGGAGCGCCTCGTCTTGGACAAGAAGATATTTTTGACCTACCGCTCCATCACCGAAATGGGCATAGAAGAGATCATATATGAAGGACTCAGGGCTAAGGTGAAGTAGAATAATAGATGTTCCCCCTCTTTCACAAGTCCAATAAGTTGTATTGTAGAATAACAACGATAATTGTAAACATTAGATCGTTACTGGAGAAAATACTGATGTGCTGAAGCACTCAAAGTGCGTTGAGCTTCGAGATTAAACCTTGTGAACAATTGAATGATCCCAGTTTGCTCTTGCCCCAGTCCCAGTTTGCTTTTAGTCGTTGCAAGGTTGTTTGCACTGATTTCTTCAATAAAAGTTAAGGCATCAGGTTCAAATACAATTGTTCTGGCTACTTAAGGCGGATTGGGCCGAAGTTGTGAAAGACACTTCACTAATTATATTCACTATATATGTAGCTAGGCGCGTTCCATTTGACGGATTGACTATCAGTTTAAGGCCCGTTTACACTACGGGACTGATTCGGAAGGATCGAGACTGGACTGAGACCAATAAGCCGCAAGGAGTGGTCAGCCGGCAACTAAGCGCGTGGCAAGGCTAATGGGCGACTGACTAAATCGGCGCAGAAGGCTAGAATTATGATGCCTTCAAGCAGGCTAAAATTTAAAACCTTCTACTCATCTCTTTCTTTAAATTTTTTTTGTTAAGTCCACACATCGGTACACATCGGTACATCGGTACAAATCACGCATCGGTACATCGGTACAAATCACACATCGGTACAAAGTCCACACATCGGTACAAATGTAAATGTAAGTTTGAGGATGTGATCTAAATTAGTTATATACGCGGGCTCTCAATAAACATTCAATCAACAAATTTCAAGTGTATCATCAAGTCTTTAGCTCAAATAAATAGGAAAGCGTGCTACAAAAACACGAGAACTTGCGTAGATGGTGTGCCTTAATCTTTGAGTTCGAAACATATCAGACGGGAAACGTACACCTAGTGCACTCTGTCTAGAAAATAGGTAACAAAATTACTTAAGATTTGTGAATTGTTAATTTAGTACAATGACATATGAACTAGAAATAAATGCGACGATAATAAAAAATCAGCCTACGGAGCAGAACAGCTACAGCTATTCAGAGGTCCATAGTCGAACATATGGTATTTGATCCTTTTAGTTGAAGCTCATCAGATATAGATGGGGAATGGAATTTTTGCACGTCATTGAGGGATTTTGTGGCTGCCGAGACCGGGATTTGGGAAGGTAGTTGGGAGGGATAGGGAAGAGGAGGGAGTGTAAGAGGCTCACAGTGAGGCAGGCTGCGCGTGCGAACGAAGTGTCAATGATTCCTGCTTTAATCTACGGAAGTTTTACAAATTTTTTGGGTAGAATTACTTATATCTACCACAGGAATTCACAAGCGCATGGCATGCCGATCAATGGAGAATAAATAGATAAGCCTACATCGAGAAAATGGTAGAAAAGTCACGCGCTTCACGAACAACAGGGTGAAAATTTTTATCCTTCCTAATAACAGTTGAGAGACAAAATTTGCAAAATTTATCTTTACGTAAGCGAAATGAAGAAAAATAGCTGAAATAGCATTCCAAATTTGAGACTTACATATTATTTAGGACGGGAGTTATAGTTTAGAGAAATAGTGAATAAACCTCATAGGACTGGACGCGGCCTGACGCCAGTACCTCAGCCTCTTATGTAGAGGCTTGGTCGAATAAAACGTGACTATATGTCGCAGGCGAGAGTTGGGCGGCACTAATTTGCCACAAAACGCCCAACTCTTTGCCCAGACAACATTCATCTGCCATAAGATGAAGAAGACTGTGCCTGGCTAGTACTGATCTCCAAATTGGCTGAAGGTCAATTTTCGAGCCAATGGTTACAGTTCATAGTATCAGGATTGGAGCAGAGAGGTGCGGGTTCGATCCCAGCTCTGTGCGCCAGTTTCTGGTCGGAAGGGGCGAAGAGGCCGGGCGGTTAAGCACAGCAGAATTGGAGCAGTAAGTTGTAAGTTCGAGACCGCAACATGCTGTGAATGTTCTGCGATGCTAAGAATGGGCGACAGGCCTACGGCCTAATAAATGCTGAAACCGCTATATTATATTATTATAAGGTTAAGGCCCGACCGGCACTGATCCCGTGTGGTTCTTCCATGTTTGTGGTCACTGCAGGGATGGCCGAGTGTATTAACGGGGGCGGACGTGAAAATGTACGGGGAACTTCTGCTATTCTTCCCCTTGGACCTTCTGAACGCTGTGACTGCAGAAGGACTTCCTATCCTCATCGAAATCTTCAACGTAAGACGGTTGGAATATGTTAATTTTAGGGAAACTGGAGCCTTTGTCTCCGTGGTTGGCTTAAACTATGAGGAAATGAAATTTGCGAGGGTGATGTGTGAATTATTTCAGGAGGAGAAGGACCTTGGGTCAATTGACGTTATTAATTTAAGTAATAATGTGACGAGTTCATGTCACTTACGATTAGCGAGGTATTGTATAATTATGTTAGAAATTAAGAGGTTAGAGGGTTCAAATAATTATTTACTGGGCTCTGATCTTCATTTGAAAAACCATATGCTGCGATTTGGGCTCCTTGTAGCGAAAGAAAACTGAAACTATTAAATGGCTGCAGTCAACCATATTTATTTAGAGGCAAGGTCCTCCTATTTGGGCGTTCATGGTTGAGAGTTTAGTATTTCTGTTAAATTCGTCAAACAATTACAAGTCCATATTTAAAACAATTCACATTTCATTAATATTGATGATTGATGAACCCAGTGCTCAACAATAAATTCTCATTATAATACCATTTCAGTCACTGGCGTCGAGCGTCTTGATGCCGTGTCTTAGCAGAGGCACACAAGAAGCCGTTGAAAATCTCATCTTTAAGTATAAAGGGTGAGTTAACTAGCACTGCCAAATTGTTGTTGTTGTTGCGGTGCCACTAGGAAAGAGTGGAAGATAACAAGAGGTGGCGCGGAGTGGCCAGAAAGAGGAAGGAGACATGGAAAAATAGTAGGAGATGAAAAGGCGCGTTAATTGCGCATGATTTGGTCGGTTGTAGGTGATTGAGGTTTGTTTAGGGTCGGAAAAGGGGTTGGGAACCCGTCAGGGCTTTGGATGCAGGAAGGTGCATGGTATGGCGTATGGGGTAAATGGGAGTTTATTGAAGAGTTGGGGATCATATGTTTTGATGGCGGACCTGGTTTTACGTGCATATTGGTGGAGGACGTGTTTATTATAGAAATGTTGTATTGATCGTGTTGTGTTTGGGAGGATATGAAGTCGGACCAATGCGTGTTCGTGATGAATTCCAGGACTTTATTTTAGATTTTCTGTTGTTTGTATATTACTGTTAGGATAGGATGTGTAGGGGTATTGGGGGATAAATGAGGGCTGACCAAACAAGGGTGAAGTATAGAGTACGTTTCATGTTTGGAGGGAGGTGGTAGATTCTGTATATTAATTTATATAGATTTGCAAAGGCTATTGCTTTCCTAACTGTTACTTGTGACCTAAAAACGTGTGTTGTAAATTGCACTGCTAAACGAGCGAATTGAAGTGTTTTTGATAAACACGAGTCTAAAAGGGAAGTGCAAAATGGTCTGTGTGTGATGGTTAAGATTGAGATGCATTGCGTTTGATTGAAATCTGATTGATGAATTTGCGTCTAATGGGTGAGATATGACTCAGCACTTCACAATACTACCATCTAATAGAAATGAGAAGGAAGAAAGTAAATGAGGGAAATTTAGAGGGAAAAAAACAATTTGGTAATCAGGGATTCCGCTAACTTATACCTATATATAAACGAGTTTGTTTAACGAAAAAACTTAGCAAAAGGTAATCAAAAATGAAACGTGGAAATTGTTTAAATTTTGTTTAAATTTAAAAAACGATTTTTTTAATTAAAAAACTAAATAAAAAAAAAAGAACTTCCTTCAATTCGAAAGTTTTCCAATGTTAAAGAAAAGAGAAAATATTCACTTTGTGTAGTGTTCTTTTACATCCATTATTAAAAAATAAACAAGCCAAAACATATTAGTCCTCCACACACTTAAAGAAGATACGATACCGATACATATATGGAATGGATTATTTCGATACATTTTCTAAGCATGTATCGATCAATGAAAGATTAATCGTTGGCAATTATCTATTCAATATATGAGCAGATGTGTTCGTTCGTTTGTTTGAAGACTCTTGTGGTGAAATGCGTACTTTCGCTTCTCTTTGGCTTCATATAAGCTACGCCTAAACTTTAATCATTTTTTTCATTCCTCTCTAACTTCGATTTGGCCACCCTCTGATTACATTTTGAATTCACTAGTTGGCTAAACACAGGCCAAAAATTAGCTTAACTCTGGCTTAAACATAACTTAATTGGTGATAATTGGAGAATAGCAGAGGCATTATAATTTATCGTCAAACACAAATCGGAGTCGGTGGAGGGTCTTTTTAAGAAGGGATGTTAATTGACCATATATGGTAACTTGCCCGCTCATGGATTAAAAAATACCCAACATATAATTTCCAAATGTCATATTACACTCACCTCGACAGAGACGACCCGCAAACATGGCGGCAAATATCGGAGATGTGTTGCCTGCTATACATCCTGTCACCCGAGACGATAAGCCGCATCCCCCGCGGGGCCCTCATGTCCTGTCGGTGCCACATCGCCGACCGTGCCCAGTACTCCTCAGATGACGATATTCGTGAGGTGTGTAATTGAGTATTATTTATGTGTTGTCGGTGCACTTGAATTCATCTTCCAACTTATTAAATTTTACTTAGGGTCTAGCGCACTAAAGCGCAGTGTTCAGCGTAACGCATACGTGGTGATGGCGACCCCGAAATGAGAGGAGCTTGTCATGGGTTCGAGCCATGGGAGGCTCAGTTCCTTTATCGGTGTCGTTGGTGGGCGGAGCTTGGTAACCGTCAGAGGGTGGTATTTGCAGCATGGTCTTGAGTTGGTGTTACGAAACAAACTCTGGGTACTCGTTACCTGGGAGGAACTTGAGGTCTTAAGGTAGTCAGATTTAATTTCATTTACATGATGAATTGAAATTATATATGGCATGTCTCACTTAGTCTTTGTCTTAAGATATTTTTGCTCCATTTTTTATTTATACACCAATTCCCCTCATGCCATCCTGGTATTAAGTAGTGGGGAGTTTCCGTCTAAATTATTTCCTTAACTAAATTACCGATCATCCTGAAACTTCGTTGACGTATGTAAATCGCTTAAATGAAAAAGTTTGCTTCGATGAATTTCTTGCAAAAAGAGAAAGAAAACGTGAAATAAATAGGAAACGGCTTAAAAAGATCGACGTTCTCCTCTTTGAATTTACGAGCTATAACATCGAGCGATATATCATTTGATTCGTAAAGAGAATATCTATCAACTCTAGAAGCCCTTTTTTAGATTTTTTTATACAACTACTTAAATTCCCGCCAAGCCCCTAGTTTTTACTATATATATAATCCAAACAATGTATACACTAGAAAAAAAGGCTTCCAGAGTCGCAAGATATTCTTTTTGCGAATCGAATGACATGTCTCTCAATATTGGAGCCTGACAACTGATGGCGGACATTTAAATTAAGTAAAAATGGCAATTTAAATCGCTCAGGAAAGCCATACATCTCAAATGGATTAAAAAGAAGTAGAGGCTAAAATATTTTGCTTGATAATAATGAACCAGGTTTTTCATCGCCTATTGAGGGAACTATCGTGCTCCGCATCACTTATTGTTATTTATCCACATCAATGCAAATAATAACCTATAAACAATTTTTGTCAAATGAATCATAGCAAAATAAATTTTATAAATGTTCATATTACACAGATTTGAAACTGCTTCCCTCAAAAACTAGAGTGCGCACAAACATTTGGTTTGCTTATACGTTCGACGCGCCTCTTCCGCAGCTGCAAAATGAGCTAAACAAACGATAAAAGCCGAATATCTCGATTGTAGACGTAGACTCTTAGAAAGTTTCTGGTCTTGGTTACTTAAAGTTTATTCTACTATAATCGACTGTGCTTTAATGTCCCTAATACTTTAATATTACGATTGTGTTTTATTCAAAGATAAATAAGGTCTCTGCTATAAAGTTGATGAGTTACCTCATATTATTAAATAATTTAAGGTTTTCGTTCGAAGAGCAGGAATGACTTGATTTGTTAATGAAGTGAACTTGAACAAAGTGTATATTTAAACCTTGGCCGCCTTTCTCGATTCTCGTTGAACCAATCTCTTTTATTACTGGAAGCTGTCTTTTTTAAACCGTCATTATGCGTAAATTAACCTTGCGTTGTCTATTTAATGAGTACATTGAACGCTGAACTGTCACTTATGACTAGGAACTCACTGATATACTTGTAGTGAAGAGGTGAGAGTATCTAGATCACTGCTTGCAACGCCTAATGCCAATAATACCCAATTTTGCGATGCGTTGATGACAGTACAACATCTAATACCAGTAATACTTAATTTTGTAATGCCTAGAAGACATTACAAATCTAATACCAATAATACCTAATTTTGTTATGCCTAGATGACATTTCAACACCTAATACCAATAATACCTAATTTTGTTATGCCTAGATAACATCTCAACACCTAATACCGCAAAATTTCGCATTGCCCGCTACAGCTTGAGTGCCCCAACACATTTAATTACGGCATCGAATTCCAACGCAAGAACGTCCTTCGAGCTCAGGCCCGGGCAGCGCTTGACATCCTCGACCTCAACAATGTACCCGGCTACAACCCCAGCGGCAGGAGGAAGAGAGGTGAAAGCAATACATTTAAAATAGTTCATGTTTTAGATTGAGGGAAAAATTGCTTACCATTAATTTGGTCTTCGAAACATTACTGGAATTTTTTTACAGCATTCTTACAATCGTTTTAGGCATAGAAGGGATTTCTTTAGAGGGCTGATAGGTACAAGACAACTCACATAAATGTGTTTAGATCTGCTATTCCCTGTAATAAATTGATAGTTGACAGCCCTCGTTATCCAATTAATTATCACTTAGTTCTTTCCTAGCAGTAAACCTGCAGTAATGATCATCAATATGATTACCATATTTGCTATATTACGATGAGCCACACGTACGATATAGTCGATATGCCACATATGGTATTTGCGTAGAAATTATCAGATTAAATATCAGTGTACATGAATTTACTATAATTTGACTGCAATAATGTAATTGTATTGTATTTGTAGGGAGTGTTTCTTTTTACCCACATACTTATTTGATTATCTCAGCCGTGAAATCCTGATTATCACCCACCTGGTATGAACGCTTATTCGATCAATTATGTGTTTTACCCGCGTTGGTTGATGTCCTAATATTCGAGGTCCTATTTAGGACCTAACATTAACTCCTAATATTCGAGCAGCTGTGAGCAACATCGCGCTGTGCAACCGCGCGTCGGTGAGCGGCGCGGACGACATCAGCAACGGTGAACTGAGCGCCGCGTCTCCTAACGAAATCATGGAATGCCTGGCAGCCCTTGGGGAGCGCTACATGAACGACTCAAAAGCCCAGGTGAACCACACAATACGAGCATTGCGTGATGACATCCCAGTTATACTACCAACATAAGTGGGAACAATAGTCCCGGAGTTATTAAGTCAATTAGTATACAAAATATAATGAAATCTGCTAGTGCTGAGGTGCCTCTAAGGGGCCACTACCTTGACGGTCGTAATAAGATTTTTTTGAGGGCTAAAATTTTGGTATTGACGGTCACCCTCCATGCGTTGAAATATAATTACCACTATTGTTCCCTTTTGACATATTTTTTCAAGCGTAATTTAATTCTTTAGAACACTAAAATTTCCATACAATTTTTCAAGAACATTCATTCAAACACTTTGCAGAAAAGATAACGTGACTCTAGATATAAACAACATATGAAAATTTTCATGTCTTATTATCCCATTATTCATCTTTAGTCAAATAGATATTAATTGTGATCAGGCAAAGGTAAATTATACTATCATATTATGAACATGGGAATAAAACCTCGTTTTGTTCCCACGCTTGGTCATCCTAAATGTCCGCCTTATATTAAAGAAGAGGTGACTAATATTTTGACTCAACGAACTTGAGTACTACCTGGTGATTATAAATATTTTAACGGACATATTTAATTATCAAAGTTTGTTTTGTTGATTCTTGATTGGGTAACTGCTTATTTGACTATTGTACTGGCGACAGGTTACTAGTGTTATTTTTATAACTACATTTTTACCTTGATAATACGAACACTTTCGCGAATTGAAGAAGAACGGGCCTCATCACGCCGCAACATTAATTATAGCTTTATTCGAGATAACGCCCAAATTTGAGACGCCCTTTATTTGAGATAACGCCCAAATAATTGAAACGCCCTTCGTTTCAGATAAAGCCCAAATTAGAGACGCACTTTATTTGAGATAACGCCCAAATTTGCGAGGCCCTTTATTTCCGATAACGCCTGAAATTGTGACGCCCTTTATTTGAGATAACGCCCGAGTCAGTTGGCCATAAATATAGTTGATCTGAAAGGACTATGAAAGGATCGCATGAGAGGTGGAGGTGGAAGTAGGAACACACAAATGGCGAGTCTTACATTCATCTAAGTTTAACACCTGCCCTCATTTTTCTCAAATTTTCCCCAGTGATCGTTAAATCAGTTCACTTCAATAATTCTTGATATTTGCAGGTCCTGGCGAACAAAGTGCGAGATTCTCTGAGCCCGCGATCTTGGTCGTCTCTAACGAACGATCTCATGCGTGACATGAACTTCATCATGAAGGGCATCCCGGCCAACGAAATTCGTGACCTCCCTGCTTTCTCTCCACCCACGCAATTCTACGACGCCGTCGTTGTCTTGGGAAATGAGAAAATGATGTTCTCCGACGACCAGGTTACGACTTTTCAGCGCGAGTGCTATAAGTGACCATAAGCGACCGAGAATTCTTTACAAGAATTGTGACAAGTAATGCGAAAAAACTGTTTTATCTATACCTGTCGTGTTTTTGGTATGGCGTTTTTTTACATTCGAGTAACAATGTACATTCGAGGTTACAAAATAACTATCAAATGAGAATCCCTCCGTATTACTACCTAATAATTTAAACTGCATTTCCTCTGTACTTGGCTACAGGAAGAAGAATTCAAGCAATATAGCTTACGAAAAAATTCAAACGCTTATATGCCAACCTCCACTAATCAGTATTTACTACGAGTGCTAACTACTATTTGTAGTGAAAACAATGATAAATGACCTGCTTTTGTTCCATCGTTATATTCAAGTGGGATGAAAGGAGACAGGATTTGTTATTAATGTGAGATAGAAATGTGATACGAACCGGGGAGAAATTGATTGTGGAAGGTGAAGCGTTTGAACGAAAAATACGATTCATAATGAAGGTGCTTGTGAGGGGGTGAAAATAATTAGGTGCGGTATGGGAGGACAGGTGGGAAATGGATTGTAAATGATCGTGGGTTCATCGTAGAGAGCAACTAAAGCTGTGTTTGTGATTGCAAATATGATACTTAATTTGGTGTGCGTGTGACGGCTTGAGGAGTTGGAGGATGAAAGGAATTGAGACCTGAATTATTGGTGAATTTAAAATGTAAAAAATTGAAAATAAAAGAACAATGAAACTATGCATCGGCAGTTTAGTCCCTGTTTCATTGCAAGTTATTTCTACATACACACAAAGTCAATGAAATTGCATTTCCTTGCCTACCGTTCTGAAGCCCAACATTTCAATTTGTATTTCTTACTTCCCCAAGACCTCTGCTAGTCTTACTGAAAACATATTAAAACCTAAATTATGGACCCTTCGTATTTTTCGTCTCATGCCGATACCTTAATTTCATCATCTCTGTTCCGACGTGCATTTATATGTGAGCCTCCACTTTATTTTCTTTCATTTCTCGTGATTAAGGATTAAAAAACAAAATAATCGTCATCAAGAATAATAATTTGGATATTTTTCAGTTTCATATTTGAGTATTACACTAACGTATTATTAATTATCTTTTCCCAGCTGCGGGCGTACGCTGATAAGGTGCTCACGACATGGCGGGCGCTGGCCGACATGTCGGACAAGCAGCTCGCCATGTACAACCGCCTCCTGTGCGCCGCCAACGCCTCCCTCATCAACACCCTTAGTCCAGAGCGCGTCGGGTGAGTCAGGCTTAGGATTTCTTCCTTTTCTCCAAACAAATTATTTCAGTTATAATGAACCCAAATTTTAATAGACTTTAATTCATATTAATTTTTATGAATTCATATCTCTACATGAATATGACAGTCTTAAATCTCATAAATGAATTTGATGTTATTTATCACCACTTGAACACGCTTGCCTTTGTATTAATTTGAATCTTTTCTTCCTCCCAGGAACGCGTTGGTTTCGCTCGGGATCACCCTTGAAGGCTGTAGTAGAGATGATGTGTTGGCACCTCTTGCTTCGAAAGCGAGCACATATTACCCCAGCGTCTTGTCAAGAGCCCAGGTAATGAATCCTTTCCAGTTTTATTCGTTGTCAGAAGCTATCTCGCAAATGAGTTGAAAAAATGCGGGTTCTTGACTGGGGTTTAGTTAGCCTGAACCGAGCCTTGGAAACTCAAACAGAATCCTGAGTTTGAAAGTTAGCAGGATTCAACCACTCAATTTCTGATTGCCTTTGGTTTCGTGAGCTCATATTTTTCATCGCTATCGGGGGTTCGAAATGACGGGCGATTTAAGTAGCTCATGAGTCGTCGGTCAGTAACGATAAGGCCAGTCAGTCACATTTTCATCCTTTGTTTCGAATAAATTCGTCTCAACAAAACAAATAGGAAGTCAGCATCACAGATATCATTGCGGTCAGCTCTCGCTGCTCTAGAATGCAACAGAAGAGAAAAAAACATGTGAAATGACCGTGACAATGAGTAAAATGAGAGTTCTAAAAATGCATTCAAGTTAACAATGAAATATCAGCTTTTTTCTATATTATAACTGCTGATCCACTTTACTTATTGCCTTATGACCTTATGAAGAGTTTAGGACTTCTCATTACATTGTCAAGCTGATACTCTGCCTTCGTCGTCTTCTATCTCCAAGTCGTCGATAGGCAGGCCACCTCGCCCACGGGACGTGTTCCGTTTATTTGCCCTACTGTGGGACAGCTGCTACAAGATGCTGTTGCTTTTCACTCGCTGAGGCTAGTTTCCCGTAAATGGACTATCCAGGATCTTCTTCAGATACTTATTCAATTGTCTCTTGAAAGTCGCAAGAGTAAATTCCTCTCAGCACCTTTAGTAAGGCGTTAAACAGCCTTAATTGGTCCTACCACGGACAGTGATCCCTCACGAATAGTCTGTACTCTGGCCTCGGCTCGATTATTAAATGGGTGAATCCTGCACAGCCTGCCCCTCCTTTCGTTGTAATGTGTCACTATTCTGGAGGTCTCACATTCAAAGTTGGGAGCCAGTCCGTTTATCATCTTCCAAGTGCACAGTATGATATACCTCTTTCTTCCCCCTCTCCAGTGAGTACAGTCCCAGTTGTTTCAGCCTGTTCCAGTAGTTCAGGTCCAGCTCCCTCATGCCGCTGATCCTGTGCGTGAAGGTCCGCTGCACTGCCTCCAGTTTCCGCACCGCACCGGCCTTGAGCGGCGCCCAAAGCTGACAGCAGTATTCAAGATTGGGGAGCACGAGGTCTCTGAAGAGTGTAATCATTGGCGCTGCTTCTCTTGCTCGAAAATTAATGGCCGTAAGATACACCCCATCCTTTGTCTCCCTCGCGCAACTATTTCCTCGATGTGGTCATCGAATGTGGCTACAGTACACATCAACACTCTGAGATCTAGAACAATTTGCAGCTGTGATCTTCATCAAAATCCGCTGTGATCATCATCAGCACTCTTGTATCGTCCGCAAATGACGATGTATATGCGTGGGTAAGTTCAAGGCCGATATTGACGATGTGGATGAGGCATAGGATCGGTCCAAGCACCGAGCCTTATGGCACTCCGCTTTCCACCCTCTCTTCTCTCGATTTCGAGTTTCCAATTGCGACAGCTTGTACTCTATTTTTAAGGAAGTTGTGGATCCACCCTAACAAGCTTCCTCCTACCCCAAGAGTCTCAGTTTTCTGAAGAGCACCCATGATCAACTTTGTTAAAGGCTTTAGCAAAGTCCAGGTATACTACATCCACGCCAGCTCCCTCCTCTAGTGGGGCCATATGCGGTTATGGTGTTCCAGTAACTGTGATAAACAGGAACGATTTCGCCGGAAACGATGTTGTCCATTATTATACAGTTCAGCCTGAGGTCAAGGTTATCGGTCTGTAATTTTGATGTCTGTCCCTCGAACCTTCGTTGTGGATTGACGTTATCAGTCCCACTTTTATAGGCCCTTAGGAATAATTCCCTCCGTCATCGAGGCTTTCCAGAGCATTGTGAGCGGAGCCTTCAGAGTTCCAACACTTCTTCAACAACACTGCCAGAATTCCATCCGGTCCTGGTGCTGAGACCATCGCCAGTTCTTTGATAATTATTTCCATATCCTATGGTCCAAACTCAATGTTCTCCAACCCCCTTCCACCTGGGAGCTCCTGGAGAACTTCGATTTCATTCTCCTCCCCTTAGTAGCGGGGGTTACTGAAGACTGATTCAAACTGCCATCCCACTAATTTGCACATGCCCTGATAATCTCCGACAAGGACATCGTTATCCTACGCACGTTGGAATGACGTCGCGTAACTTCTACATCCGGGTTTCTGAACACCGTGGCAGGAGCTATCGTTCTAACTTGCCTCTCGCCAAGCCTCCTCATTCTTCCGTGCGCCTCCATGCTGAACAGTGCGACGTGGCTGTATCTGAGAGTGATTTCAGGATACTCGGTTCCACTTCTGGCTGCTCGGATTTGAGAATTTTGGAGTCTCTACATATCTTCAAACGAAAACCATGTCTCAGTAATGCGTTTAGCTCATATAATCTGGAAATAGTAAATCGCTAGGATTTTATATTCTTGTCGTACCCCTAGGACTAAGTTGTTCATAACTAGTCCTGTTTATTTCGATATAATGTTAGGTCTTGTTTAGGTTTTATGTCTGTCTTTGAATTTTGGCTCTTAAAGTGGTTTTATTCATTTTTAGTTTAGTCGAACTGATGATGGAGCTGGACTCCGAAACGTTTTCAATATCGATATGGTGAATTTTCTTGGCCTTTTCTTTGCTTTTAAATTCCTTGTGAACTTGCGATATAAGCAGACTAATGATATAAGTACTTATCGTTATCCTTCAGCTGGCCGACTGGCGTCTTTATTTTAGCCTTGGACTTGGCGTATTTTAAAAAATACTTCAGGTTTTCTCTGATGACCTCAACTACTCGTTCATCGGCAGCTTGTTCTTCCATCCAGTGCGATTCCTACAACCTGAGTTCTGTTTCCTTGTGCAAATCTACTAGTCTCTGTCTCCTCTGATCACTAGTGGATTCAGCTATTTGTTTATTCAATCGTGTGCGTCTTCTCATGAAGATTCGTCGGTCTCCCGGAATGCTGCGGTCGTTGGGGCCTGTTTCTCCCGGGTTATGACGCACACATACCTGTGCCAGTTTCTCACATAGTTTTGTGCAAATTTTCTCTGCCTTCATCTCGTGAAACTCTTCTCTCCAATAAGTTTCTTCAAGTTCATTCCAAATTGCCTACTAATCCTTTCTTTGATGGTGGAAGTTGTGTCCTGCCAGTCCTTTTTGGTGTATAGCCTGGGCTGGGTATCAGTTCCAATTGTCGTATACACCATCACAACGTGGTGGTCTGACAGTGAGGGTTCTTCAACCAAAACGTCAACCACCATTCTTTCATTATTACTAAAAAAGAGATCGAGGATATTGTGTTTCCTTATCGGCAACCGTACATGCTGACTAAGTAAATGTTCGACATCAATCTTCACTAGTTTGGCTTCTTGACTTCTGTCGCGGTCACAAACCGCCAAGCCGCCCACACTTGTCCAACGGATATGTGGGAGATTGACGCCTCCCCTCTTTATAAGGCTAGGGAGTTGACTTCGTGTAACTAACATATGAAATGCATGGTGAGTGTGGTATAGGATGCATAAAAAGACAGGTCCAGGTTTCGAATGTCAAAAAGTAAGTAGTACGACGTTTGTGATGAAGAAGCAAAGCCCAGTCCAGCCACCCTGGTTTCTATTTCTTTCGGGGTTTCGCTGAAGAAGAGAAACAACCGACTCAAATTCAGGCCCGCGGCAATAAATTTCGCGCGAGCGACGCAAGTCCTACAAGCACCACGTCCAGGAAGGAACTTTCCTGACACAAATAAAACTCACCAAACATATCAATGAAGAATATATATAAATATCTGTGAAATCATAAATTTATCTAATTCATTCGAGAAATTGATGCAAATCAATGTATTGAAAGAACTTTGAAGCTGGCGATTGCAAATTTGAGACTGACGGCAATAAAAAATACTCTCGTGGTCTCGACTAGGCGAATTGTCGACAATACTTGCTCCCTGCTTTAGCTTGCTGTTGAAATCAATATAGAATTTTTATCAGTTTCTTCAGTCAATATAGAATCTGTTTATCTGTTTCTCTTGTCAATATAGAATCCGTTCATCTGCTTCTTTAGTCAATATAGACTATAGAGTCAGGTTTATCCGTTTCTTTATGGCGGCTTGAATCAGTCAAATAGGAGCACTCCGTTATTATTTGATGAAATGTTTTTGTCTATGTGCTCAAAGTATAATTTTTCCCCCTTTTTCTTGTAACAAGCCTTGAAAGTTCTGATTTAACCAGACGTCACGATAATCTCTTCGTGTAATAATAATGATAATGTAATGTTTCATATGTATCAGTACACCAATTAGACTGCAGTAAACGAGTGGATTGCTACGATGAAGATGCGCTATACTTACAACTTCGTTACAGGTGCGAGAATTGGGGGTAGTGTTCGCCGGGTTGGACTCGAGTAAAATAAGGAGGCTCGATCCAACCTCCTTCGCTGGCCTTTCACGCATTGCCCTGCGCGCAATGTCCAACGACTCCATCTTGGTACGCATGGGGGGCTGGGCACGTGGTACAACTTGTAACTCGCTGTATAGGATGCGTATAAAGACAGGTCCAGGTTTCGTATGTCAAAGAGTACGTAGTACGACGTTCGTGATGAAGAAGCAAAGCAGAGCACTGGTGGAAAGTTACTGAACTTAACCGCGAACGTGAAGTATTTGGTCTTCTTCGTCGACTTCTTGCGAGAAAATAATTCTTTCCATTTTCTCCGATGCCGCAATAGATTCAAAATAATTTTCAGCGGCTTACATTGGCTTTAACTGGAACAGCCATCGACTGCTCAAAATATCGTCGGTTCCCATCTTTGAGTTTAAAATTATAAGTTGACATGGTGTAATAAAATTATGATCAGAAGTACATACAGATGTACCCAACAACGGTATTGTGGATACTCTGTAACGTTTAGCAAATATTAGTCAGACAATTGAATCTGACACTTGTTACATCTACGTTTAAATCAAAGCGCATCGTTGCAACTTGGAACTGGTTTCTATGAACAATACTGTGACAATATAAATCGTACTACCCTGTGATATTTGGGTAATACCACGGTCATGAAATAGAAGCAAATTAGAGCACTTGTGCTCTGTTCACAAGTGTAAAGATGTACAGTTACTGTTCATGCTACGTAATGACTCTCCATTCAATTAATCCATTTAATTTATTTTGTTTCTCCTGAAGGCGATGAGTTCTTCGCAGCTAGACAATCTTCCAATGGGGGCATCGATGGCTGTTTACGAACGCTTTGGACGTGACTTTGATTGGGGGCGCATTCCAGCTGCTAATACGACCATCAACAATAACACAGAGATCAACAGTAATTTGACTTTTAATGAAAATTCAAACGTCAACTACAAGTTGACTAATAACATTACAAACGTCAACAGCAATTTGACCGTCCATGGAAATACAAACGTCAACTTCAATTTCACCGTCAATGGGAATACAACTGCTACGGGCGCAGAGGCCTATACAGACGAGGTAACAATTTCACAAGTCATCCGCACTTTTTTCGCTTGTTAAGACCCAAACCCCCGTCTGAATTCGGGAGGGGGTCAGCTTCTGAATTAGGGAGTCGTAAGCTTGATTAGAACGTAAATTGTCGGCTATATATCCGAATTTCGTTTCCTTTAGCCCAGTGGTTCCCAAAATGGGCGATATCGCCCCCCCAGTGGCGGTGGAAAGATTTTGGGGGCTGTATGAATAAGAGGGCGGTATATCATGGGGGCTATAGGAAGAGGCGGTAGTCCGAAGTCAATGTCAGAAGTTCGAACGTTTGTTTGACGATTTGAACACAACACGTGCAGCACATGACTCCCAACGGTGGTTTTTTTCACCAAGATCTGTTATTTAACCTCTCCTGGGTTTACGTCTTGGACAAATTAACGGCCGAACTCGTGGCCAGTCTCACGGTCAATTTATAAATTCAACGATCAGGGAATATCTCTCAAACTAATGAACTTAACTCGATGAAACATGGTACATGTATTCATTGTGACCTAACGATAATGTTTTGCTCGTGAAAGTTGTTTGAATTTTGCCATCGTTTGTTTTTGCCATAGTTATATAGCAATACGGGCCGAAATTCACAGCGATCAAGTAATTTTTTCCAAACTACTGAACCGATTCGAACGAATTTTTGAATTTACAGTCTTAACTACCGAACGGTAATGTTTAGCTCGTGAAAATTTTTTCGATTGTGCCGTCTTTCGCGATTTTTTTTTTTCATTTCACCTTCGTTCGTGATTTAAACAGCAATACGTGCTTAACTTCGCAGTAATCTAGAAATTTAGTCCAAACTACTGAACATATTTAAACGAAACTTAGTATTTAAATACCTAACCTCAGCAACGGTGATGTTTACAATTTTTTCGTTTTGCCTTCGTTTGCGAGTTATACGGCTATATACGTATAAGGCTCTTGGTTAAACCGGCCGGTAGAAAAGCCGATCGTTCCTCCTACAATATATCTGTATAACTCGCGAACGAAAGCAAAAAAGGAAAATTGTCACGAACTAAACATCACCGTTGAGAGGTTAGGTATTTATATACAAAGTTTCGTTGACATCTGTTCTGTAGTTTAGAAGAAATTTCTTGATCGCCGCGAATTTAAGTGACAAATTACTCGGCGATACGGGCCGAATATAAGGAAGTATGAAATCAAGAATGACGGTGAAATGAAGAAAAAACTCGCAAACGAAGGTAAAATCGGAAAAAAATTATAATCTTAAAAATTACCGTTTGGTAGTTAGGTATGTATATTCAAAATTTCGCTCAAATTTGTTCAATGTTTTGAAATAATTTCTTTGATCACTGCGAATTTCGGCCTGTTGCGCGATATATGCGTAACTCACGAATGAAGGTGAAATTAAAAAAATACGGGCTAAACATCACCGTTAGGTTCTAATGAATGCGTGTTCAAAGTTTTATAGATCTGCGTTCATTAGTTTGGGAGATATTATTTAAAAAATTGAATTTGGAGATTGGTTGTGAGACCGGCCACTAGTCCGGCCGTAAATTCGCCCGCGACGTCCTAGGTTTCTAGTGCTGAAACAGTTAAAACAGATGGAAAACATATTGGTTCACTAAATGGGGTTCTATTTGCAAAATACACATTTGTGTTTAACCTTTATCTTTTAAAATTGCAGTTTACTAAATTCCAAGAAGATGCTTATGTCTGTGGGGGGCGCTAGAAATTCACTAAGGAGCCATAAAAGGGGTGCCAGCCCGAAAAAGTTTGGGAACCACTGTTTTAGCCAAACTAAACTAGCGTCTTATTAAAATCAGATCTATTGCCTGGGCAAGTGTGGGGCGCACACTTCATTCGTTCATTCACAGCAATTTCACCAATTGTATCCATATATCCTTATGAATGAACCACGTTGTATTTAAAATAATCAGTCAAGTTAATTACCTTATCATGTCTTGGAAATTTCGTAACAATAAATTCATATCGATCAAATTGTACTACAAGGACGTAAAAATTCTGCATTTAACTATGACAGAATGAATTTAACCATATGTATGTATGTATCCACATGTTATATTCATGCCTTAATACATGCATTAAAGTAACATGTGAAAACAAGTCGTGAATCCATGCCGGTATGCACCTGCCAGTGCTAAGATGGCCACGTAGACATTGCGCCGATGCCGCTACTGTCGGTACGTAGCCAGGCTGAGGCATCGATGCAACGCCTACGAGTGACCCTAATAACTGCGCCCAAGTGGTCTTTACGGCACTGATATTTCGCTGCTGCGGCATCCACGCGACAGTTGATTGGCATGCTGCCGTAGGTATCGCTGGCGCTATTTTTTACTGGCCACTCATATTGAGCTCGTTAAAGAGAACATTTTTTACGCATAGGCCTCTTCTACGGGTTCATTAAATTTGCTTCCAATTCCGAAATGTTATCTTGGCACTATGAGTATTCGGTCCCATTTCTAAAGAATTATTTCCATGAGATGGGCTCTGATATGTTCATTCATACCCAGTTTTGGGAATGCACTAGTTCGATGTACTGAAACTACTCGTAGTAATAATATTTATTAAAGTAGAACTTTAGAGGCGGTGCCAGTGTTTTACCCTTAATAATAATGACCGATTCTTATTTTAAGTCACGAATTTTCCCACGAATTTTTAGTGACATTACGATTCTAATCAATAAACCCAGCATATCGGAGAATTTTTATTGTTATTTCGTACAAGCATGTACTATAGTTCGTGGTACGCTACCAAACTAAGGCAGTATCCAACTGTAACTGTTGTCTACAATTACATATGATATTATAGTAAATATAAATGAATGGATAATAAATATATATAACTTACCAGGCAGATGAGTGTAATTTAAAATTTTCTCAATTTATTTGAAATTCAGCTGCATGGTATTGAAATGACAGCTTGCATCATTTAAAATTCAGTCTTCAAAATTATATAGTATTTACAATAGGTCCCTTCAATATTCCTTGTTCGCAGGCCTGTCATCCGCTGCTAGACTCCTGATGCTGTTGTTTGACGTCTTTGCTTGGTAAGACTCATCTCGTCATGAACTGTCACCAGCGGCAACATCTATGTTATAACACAACTGTCACCAGCGGGGACATCTTTGTTATAACATAACTGTCACCAGCGGCGACATCTTTGTTATAACACAACTGTCACCAGCGTGGACATCTTTGTTACAACACAACTGCAACCAGCGGCGACATCTTTGTTACAACACAACTGTCGCAAGCGGCGACATCTTTGTTATAACACAACTGTCACAAGCGGCGACATCTTTGTTATAACACAACTGTCACCAGCGGTGACATCTTTGTTACAACACAACTGTCACCAGCGGGGACATCCTTGTTACAACACAACTGCAACCAGCGGCGACATCTTTGGTATAACACAACTGTCACAAGCGGCGACATCTTTGTTATAACACAACTGTCACCAGCGGCGACATCTTTGTTATAACACAACTGTCACCAGCGGCGACATCTTTGGTATAACACAACTGTCACCAACGGCAACATCTTTGCTATGCATATACTATTAATAATAGCTCATATTCAACAATAATTTTGTATCTAACAAAAAATTAAATTAAATGCATAAATCGCATTAAATTTTGCTGTGCTGAAAAGAATAATTTTCAGCAAGAATCGTTGATGCTAAAGAGATCACAAAAATTAAATATTTTTCAGAAATATCAACGCCGTTCATCGTGAAATTACAAATGGATCTTAATTAATTAAGCCTCGAAGGACGAATATGAAGCCTGTCCCATGCAGTTTGAATTTTTTAAATGCATGCTTTACAATAGGAAAATAAAAATGCTTGATAAATTGAATTTCTCGGGCCTGTGAGTTATTGGCTATACATGGAAAAAAATTCTTAGTGCCATCATGATATTGGAAATTTGTTATGTAATATCCTATTTTAAAACTTTAATAATACTAATTGATTAAATAACGAAAAATATATTGAATATAACATATCATATTGGAGAACTGTCTATATATTCAAACTTCTCACCGAAAATACTTGATTTACTTATGCGACCTACGTCGTGGATGTGTACTTGTGTCGTCAAAGATATACATTCAGCGATATTTGAGGTATGGTTCTAGTTCTCTAGCTCCTGGTCGGCAAAGTTTATGTTTTATCAACGGTCCGGGATGAAAAAAAAGAGAGAGTATAATGTGCTACTTTGCCGATAAAATGTGGCTAGTGAAACACACGTCGGACCGTACGAACTATGAGCTTTGATGATCCTGATACTCTATTTTATATTCTATGACTAATCCACTTTACTGCGTTCCGAACCCTGTAATTGTACGCGTATATCATGAGATAGGTGTTTATAAACATCATGTAGAGTTCTTTGGTTAGCATAATCATGAGCTTTCCCTCATCAGACTATAATAGCATGAGTCCACATTGTTCGGTTAATCAATCCACTAACTGAAAAAATCTTTATTCGAAATTTACCCAAATGCAAATTCAGCTTCATCGCATTAATGTGCTTTGACGACTTACTAATAATCTCACCTGAATCAGAGACTAAATAGTAAAAATTTCGGCTTCATTATAATTATGGACTCGTTTCAACTCAAATTCATCTTTCCGGATAGACAAGAACTCATTTTAAACTTGTTTTTAACCTCGTGTTAAGACCATGATACATTTAGTGATAATGGTACACTTAATTCACACTAATTAACCTAGTTTTGATATTATTATGATTTTTGACGGTACTGTCTTTGAATAGAAGTGTTGAGTGGTTTAAGATTTATGTGTGTCAGCTATGTCGACCGCTTTTTATATTGGCGTAAAAATGAAAGGAATGTAGATAATTAGCATTGACCATTAGCGACCATTGAATTCCCCATTTTAGCGATTAAATGTGCGGGATTTTTAGAAATGTCATCATTTATCTGGATTTATAACTTAGTTACTTATGCAAACTCTCGTAGAAATTTATCCTGAGTGGTCAATCTATTTTGAATTGGTAAAAAAAAAATTCCGAAAATTATAACCGACATAGCGTGTTATCATGTATTGCAACTCGCATGGTATCAGCCTTAATTTCTTGTAATATTTAACACTTTATAATAACCAAAGCAGTCGTGATAGAATGAATTACAAACTGGTGACGTTGCTTCAGGTAGAAGTGTTTTTGGAGACTAGATGTGACTTTGATATTATATAGTTATGATTGCGACTAACTCTTAACAGTTTTCGGAGCGGTCATTGTGGCATTCTTGACTGATTTTTAATAATATGTACCCATTATTAATTCTCTCCATTCACGATTGAATTCAAGATTTCACTAAATTCTAAATAAAAATCTCAATTGAATCACCTTGGTATTTCTAAAAAATTTATTTGGAGTAATCGAGTGGTCAATCATTGATTGCTCGATGACATCTGGCTCGATGGTCGCTATCATATCAAATTTCATTTCAGTCTCTGAAATAATCCTCTGCGTTATTGATGTGTAACATGAATTCGTGGAATTTTTCTGCTCTTTCTGGTTATAATCTCTTTCAAACTTTATTCATGTGCATCAAAAATTACATTTGGTATGTTGGCCTTGATAGTTTATCATCACATTAGTCATTACAAGCATCCGATTTATTATCATTTTATGGGTTGATCGTTGAATTTACAAATATCTCTTGTATTTAAAGTTTTCTTTTTTTTGTTCATGCTTGTTATTCACAAAATCAGGAGCATTCTCTACGCCAAAGCTTGCAGTGCGGCTTACTCAGAAAAGCTCTCAATTATCCCCTCTTAAACCCCTAAAAAAGCGCTACCTGATTCTTCTAGCTAAAATATTTTTGAGCTGATGGATCTATAGGTGCAGTTGGCCTCCTTTACTAGCAACTCCGCTCATAACAAAGAACTTATGATAGAAAAAAAGAGGATTATTACGACTGAAAAATCTGTATAAGTCTGTTAAATTGCTGATACCTGTCCTTGTATTTGCTTCAGTTCGTTGAAATAGTCTATAATTTCTAACTTCAAATTCATAATCTTGCGAGCACTTGTGTCTTTTCGGTGAAATAAAATTGTTTGTAAAATTATTCAGCGATGTTTTTTACCGTCAAGGAGTATCCTTACTGTAGATATACTTCCCATTATCCGGACATTAATTATTCACAAGACTTCTCTTTAACTTCACTTCTTGTTGTTTGTTTTTCTGGCTGCTACAAATCTTATAATCGATATTTAACACACTTCTACCTGTCCAATCAATCTGAAATTTTGCACACTTGCGTAAAGTTGGAGACAATGCATGAATCAATTGACTGAATAAATAATTTTGAAAATTTAAATTTCCTTCATATATAAAAAATTAATAAATTAATTTTTGTAATTTATGTAAATAAAATTATAAATTCATTGTAGATATGTAACATCGGAGACACTATTTTTTAGAAGTGTTGTCTTAAAAAAATAATTTTCAAACTTATATTATTTCAACTAAATTGAAAAAAAAAGAAAAAAACTTTACTTGCCTGGACCTAACCCCAGTAGAAAGGTCTCTAGCAACGTCAAGAAGGGTTTTGTACACACCTAACCCTAACTCTAACCCTAACCTAACGCGGTTGGCGTTTTTTTATGTCCGGTACGAGAAAAAAGAAAAGAGTTCATTTATTTTTGTGTCCGGTTTTTAGGTACAAACATGTTAGAGTATATAGCCGGACGAAATTTTGCCCGGGTTCCTAACCCATGTCCGGTAATGTTACCAAATGCATTTTTTTGCTTATTTTTGGCCCACGGACGTAATTAGCAAAATTGTTAAAAAGAGTAAAAAGAACTTAACCTGGCTGGACCTAACCTTAGTTGAAAGGTGTCAAGCAACGTAAATAAGGGTTTTATACACACCTAACCCTAACTCTAACCCTAACCTAACGATGTTGGCCTTTTTTAGAATGTCCGGTAGTGTAGTTCATTTATTTTCGTGTCCGGTTTTTGAGTACAAACTAATTGCAGAGTTAATAACCGGACTCGATTTTGTCCGGTTTTCTAACCCCTGTCCGGTAATGTTACCAATTTTGTCCGGTAATTGTTATTTTGTCCAGTAATATATATATAAGTAATTGTTATTTTGTCCGGTAATATATATAAGAATTTCGAACAATTACCAGACAAAATTGGTAACATTACTGGACAGGGGGTACAAAACCGGACAAAATCGCACAATTCCTATCTCGGAATGTACCAATGTCGCAGAATCTACCTATGATTAGTATTTGCGAATAGTGCGACACAAAAAAATATGAACGCTATTATGCGACATGCTATTTAACGAAAATCTCGTTTGGTTAAGGTTAGAAGTGTGAAAATGGTTTTTAGACACTTTTTTACAATTTTACTAAGGTTAGGTCCAGCCAGGAAAGGTTCATTTACCTTAAATAACTAATTGAAAAACGTCAACTAATAATTGTCGCAGTATTACCAGTGTATATATAGCCGAAGCTTTTCATTTAAGCGAGTTTGATTGAAGACCAGAACATGTTTTTATTAATAATCTTCTTATTCAACTTTTTATAGTTCGACTCGGTGAAAAATCGAAAATGAAGATTTATTAATAAAAACATGCTCCAGTCTTCAACGAAACTTGCATATTTATAAATATATGTTTTTAAAGCAAGGATACAGGAAAGACGATTGGATAAATGGGCTCAGTAAATTAGAAATCACCTCTCCTTAATTAGTTTGATCACAATTTGATGCCATTGCCCATCTTAAGTCCAGCTTCGATACAGACTTTGATGCTCATTCTCAACACAGAAAACGGTCCATACATTCATATTAAAGTCAGTACAGCCCAAATTGTATCCAATAATTGAATGTCGTCATGAGCATGACATCGTTCACTAACACACGCCTCCTGCGCGGCGGCATCAGGCGAACTCTACTTGTGATTCTTGTGACTCTCGTGGTGACCATCATGTTCGCGATTTTGATGGACATGTGAGTAAGTTCTCAGCGATACTGTCTATTTGAACACTTTTAGCATAGATTGTTTTGAGAAAATTTCTGGAAAATCCATGTAAATAAACTAGCATACTTAGGTGTACTGAAATTCTAAGCTCTCATTGCATCTAGTAAAATTTGAAATAGAGGTTTCACCCTATCGATTCATTCCTTGATTATGAAGCTACCTGTTCCACCCAAATATCCAGTAGTAAAAATAGCTCGCTTTTATACAAAAACCAATCGGATGTGTTACTTAATTGTCATTTTCATCACGGCATTTTGTTCAATAAGCATTTAGGTGCAAGCTTGACTCCCATTAAACATAATTCGCTCATAACGCACATGAATTTACGAGTTGCAGCGATACCCAAATTAAGCCAACATTTTCTTACAGATGATTGCCTCACTTTTCAGATTTCTGCTGAAACCCGTGCCAAAACATCTATTTTTAGGTTAGTTGTTCCTGTTAACTATCGACTAAAGACTAAAATATCAAATTATGGCATACAATAAATCCCTACACACATACAATGCAGATAGAAGCAACTTTGTTGAGCGTGCATGTTAGCATGAAGTTTGGTGAGATTTGACTCAACAAAAAAAATTGGTTCAATTCGCTTAATTTGAGTTCAAAATATTACCTATTTCACTATGAAATAGATTTGAATAAAACTCAATATTATTTTTGTCTCTGACCACCCAGATCGTCTGGGCTACCGGACGTCCGGCCATCGCGTTGAAGCGAAAGCCCGTGTCGCAGAGGAGAATAAAAATTCCCAAAATTATTCTACCCCAAAACCAATTCTTGACTGGCACAAATTTTTCGAGTACTTAGAAGAGGCGGCCGGTTGTAGTAATATTGTGAGTAGAAGCTAACTTTTCCATGCTAACAATATATTTACTTTTATTTGGTCCACAAATAGTTTCAACTTTAATGTAAACTACAATCGACGCTATTCACGGATTGCACTCTGAAATAAGATTAATGACATCAATTTTGAGATTGCACAAATTTTTAACCAAAGAAGAAGAAAATCTTTTAAAAAATAAACTAAGCGTCATTCACACTTGCAGGAGATGTTCGGAGCCCAACCAAATGAAGGAACCACGTTTCTGGACGGCGTTAAAGCAGTTTGTTTGGACGACAAAGTCTCTCCCACACCCGGCTCCTGCATCGTACTTTCCTTCGGCATGGGCAACGAGTGGAGCTTTGAGGAGGCCATGGCGGAATACGGCTGCAAGGTGAGGGTAGTTTATAAGAGGCTTACCTGTGCGTTCCTGCAAAATTACGCTTGCCTGATGGACTCGAACACAAAAAGAAATATGAGTTAATTGCATGGTTGGCCGGATGGTCCCAATTGAGGGTAATAATATGGTACAAAATAATTGATGGCTCTTAAAATGAATTTATTAATCTGTATGCATATCACTTTCCAAGAGCTCAAAGCGCTTTCATGGGTGCCGTCGGGGTAATGCGCCTCGTTTGTTAAGAATGGCTTTCAGTTCTTACGAGCGTAAATTAACTGTAGACTACGTTATTTTTGTTAACATATATCATTCAACATTTGAAATGTATGTATTCATGTATGCAAACGAATGAATCATTCGTTTTATTCACCATCAACGGTCTTTTGAATATAAACAGATGTACCGTTCTTAGCATGCGCTGCGTTCATAAAGATCTGACTCCCATCTCGGAACATGTGAACTTTAAATAACTTGCTCTATTTAACAATTTTCTTTTACCAGTGTTTATCGTCCTGAATGCACTTCCTTTCATTTGCAATTATTGTGTCTGTGCAATATTATCAATATTAATTCCCAAGCAGGTGTACGCGTTTGACCCCACCATTAGGCAGCCGGACAGCCTCAGTGGTCACGGCATCCACTTCCGTCCATTGGGCTTGGGAGGCGTAACTGGAGTTGCGTCGTTCCATGGAACTGAAATACAGGTTATCGAGATCAGTATCAAGAAGACGCATGCAGATTAATGACATTAGCTTGACAAATTAGCTCTCCTACTGGAAGGAGCAGCTAATTTTAGAGATGAATCAAGTATGAAGAGCCCCCATTTTTCGTTCCAACTTGTGTCGCTCCAGAAGTCATGGTGTCGGTTTAGAGATGAATTAGGTGTGAATCGGCCACCTACTGTATTCGAATGCTTTTTAGCGGCCTCTTACGGAAGACGATTGCCCTTGGGCTGAATCTGTATAATTGAACCGAAAAAGCAGCCGGTCAGGAAGCCTCATGATGGTCCTTGTCGGACGCTGGTCAGGCTACCTTGGCATGGTCCTGGTCAGAGTCTGGACAGTGGATAACTGTGCGAACGATGATCATCTCCCGTTCAATAAATGGCGTCAACGAATGTACAGTTGTACACACCGTTTTCTCTTGCCACCATGCCACACCTCTGCCATATAGGCCAGTAATGCGCCAACACACTACAAATAGTTAAACATTAATGTTGTGAGCAACATTGCTTTTCAAAAGAGCTGTACGACTTGAAAACAATTTAGTTACAAATACCATTACCCTTGTACTTGTTGAAGAGAAAATTTTAAATTTAGAGTGCTTGTGGAAGTACTCCATAATTGATTTCAAACTGTGTGAAGATCGCGGTTCTGAAGCCAGCGAATGATGATTTTTCCAACAATAGAAATGTCCAGTTTTGGCATACGCCTGCATGAGCGGCTATAAAAGTAGTTCCTGCAGATATGCTCACAGTTGAAATTTCCAAACAACACGAGAGCTTGATTGAAGATTGTCTATATGAAAGTTCTCGCTGAGTTGGCGTGTGGGTGTTGACTATCGCATATAAGTAGAATGTATTGGAACTGGATACAATGCAACTTCTTTGATTTCCTGGTTTCCCATTACTCTCGTATGTTCCGCACTATTCTTTTAGTTGTCACTCCAGAATTTCAAAGTGCAGTTCATTCTAGAACTCAGTACCGCCGATGCGATGACGATGGATTTCAGAAAAACTTCGTTTGTTGGCTGTTGTGAAGTATGAACGAGTAGCAGCAATCAATTTACTGCAGTCAAGTCACTGCAGAAACTTGACTGAAAGCTAAGTAACAGTCAACAGCAGATCTGCAAGAACTGCACTTCAACTGCACAAGAACTATAGCTTTTTAAGCAGACATTTGCCCGAAACTGAACATTCTATTGTTGAATAAATCTTTTGTTCGTGAGCTTGCAGAAGTGTTCGTCACGCAACTTGGAATGAATGAAATACTTCCACAAGCATTCTACCGTTCAAAAAGCATTTTTCCTGTTCAACGTCTTGAGAAACAAGGTCTTATAAACTAAATTAATCTCAACTTCTACATCTTAGTGAAAGAGAAAAAACCATTATAGTAAAGTGCTTTACTCGATTGACGCCACCTCAATGCCGATCACTATTAGAAGTGTACTGACGCATTTCTGACTAGCGGCAGCGGCTACTATTTAGCCTAATGAGGGTGCATGGGAAGTCATGCATACCCCCGCAGGCTGCATCGGAACGTGAAAGACATATAGGGCGCTAACTTTAGATCTGTGTTCTTACGGCATTGAAGCATTTTAAATGCGCTTGTTGAAGCTTAGGTGTTATTGGATGTGTAATTATCGCGTTGATCACGTCTACCCACAAGTTAAGGCTGTTCTTTCGCCTATTTCGTATATTTTTTTCTTTAGCCTGTAACTCTAGTAAAATCTGTTTCAGTGTTACTTCCTCCTCTTTATTGAGCGACTTCTTGGAGTTTCTGTAAAAATTTAATTGAGTGAATAGCTTGAGGGAAGAAAATTGTGTTGCTTAAATCTTGTTGTATTTTTTTTCTTTTGTTTTTCGAATATGCATCGATTTTTAAACAATTTTTTTGACACATTATTATTTGACATCATTATTTCTTTGCATCCATTTTTCTATGCCCATAATCTTTGCACTGCACATCCCACAAATGTGGTGAACCACGATACACCTCATTGAATTTATCAATAAATCTTTTCCTGGTTTTTATATTATACACGAAAATAAAACGTGGCTGACGAGTTCATCCCACGGCTAGAAGGCAGCTGGCAAAATATTGCGCAAAGGACGGTTTAATATTACTCTATTTGCACAATTCACTTACAAAAGTTTGAAATCACGCAATACATAACGTCACTTTCTATTATCACCTACAAACGATCAATTATCAAGCTAAAAAATCTGTAATGCGCAGTAATATAGATCGTCCAGGTGCCGCATTAATTCTCGCTTCGTTCCAACGCATAACTTTAGAAACGTCCTCTAGCACAAGCACTGTTTGCGTTTCTAGGGCAAGGGCTTATATCATTAGTCTGCTTAAATCGCAAGTTCACAAGGAATTTAAAAGCAAAGAAAACGCCAAGAAAATTCACCATATCGATATTGAAAACGTTTCGGAGTCCAGCTCCATCATCAGTTCGACTAAACTAAAATGAATAAAATCACTACAAAAGTCAAAATTCAAAGACAGACATAAAACCTAAACAAGACCTAACATTATATCGAAATAAACAGGACTAGTTATGAACAACTTGGTCCTAGGGGGACGACAAGAATATAAAATCCTAGCGATTTACTATTTCCAGATTATATGAGCCAAACACATTATTGAGACATGGTTTTCGCTTGAAGATATGTAGAGACTCCAAAATTCTCAAATCCGAGCAGCCAGAAGTGGAACCGAGTATCCTGAAATCACTCTCAGATACAGCCACGTCGCACTGTTCAGCATGGAGGCGCACGGAAGAATGAGGAGGCTTGGCGAGAGGCAAGTTAGAACGNGGTTTTTGCGGTGGGTTTGGCTAGTGGTCGTCCTGAAAGTTTCATTCAAACGCCCAGCATGCCGTCGGACCACAAAAGCGTCCACGGTGGAGAATAAGTGCCTGACTTTTATGTCTGTCTTTGAATTTTGACTTTTGAAGTGATTTTATTCATTTTAGTTTAGTCGAACTGATGATGGAGCTGGACTCCGAAACGTTTTCAATATCGATATGGTGAATTTTCTTGGCGTTTTCTTTGCTTTTAAATTCCTTAGGGCAAGGGCTTGTCATGCTCACCCTAATACCTCAGCCAGCGTCTGAGCAGGGTTAACCGCTTATTTCAGGCGTCATTCGACCCTTGGCTTGTATTTTTAGTTAAAAAATTTACCCAGAAAATCTTTTAATTAGCGGCAGAATACAATATGTAGCCAATACGCTCCTGAATCGTCTTTAAGCTGACTGTAGCGAGCATCTACGTCATTTAAAAGGTATCCGAAAAAATGGGTACTTGATAAATAGTCAAGCCACTTTCAAATTGATTCTGATTAACAGTCATAACGAATGAAAGATTCGAATATGCTCATCATCACGTATTTCAGCATAGAATATAAGCTCGTTCGTGTGCGAGTGTTTTTCTTCCATTTCAGCTGAGCTCATTTGGAAGGATCCTACTCTGATTGTTTGAAAATTTTAAGTCTTTTAATAAAAATTAAAAACTGAGCGAAACATATTAGCAGATTTTTTCACTGTATGTACACTCATAATTCTTTGTGCGCTTCATCGCTTCTCTATTCAACGGTAGATTTTGAATTAAAGCAAATAATTGGAGCTAACCGGTGATTAATATAAACAGTAATTTTTCTCGGTCAAAATGCTCGATTACGCTGCATTAGACCTGTTATCACGCGTATGTCATGCCCCTAACAGTGATCGCATGGCATGCCCTTGATCGCAACTCAATTTTTGATGAGCTCGACTCAACGGTTACTAGTGTTTCGGGCATAGCTTCCCTGATAAACGGATCTGCTTAAATTTTTGGTCAATCGAGTCAGGCTTATCATGCAATCAGGTTGCTCGTAGTGTTGATTTAACTTGAAATATTATTATTCCATTTGGTGTGTTTTGAGCTCTACATTATTGTACAGGTATGCACATATCGGGATATTTTGAAGTTGATCGACTTAGAGAAGAGCGTCATTGACTACCTCAGGATCGACATCGAGGGCTTCGAGGTGGATTTTTTTCACAACGTCCTTAACGACGATGTCGAACTCCTGGCCAACATCAAGCAGATCGGCATGGAGATCCACCCACGTAAGAGATGTCAAAAGTAATAAGGTCAAAATGAGATAGTTGGATCAAAGTCGAATATTCAAGTGATCGACTGGGAAATTTAATGAAGTGATATGAATTTATGTGACGATTTAACCACAGATCAATTCTCGTTTTCGAAAAAAATAGAATATTAAATTAAATTCAATTACCATAAGTAAACTTTCCCTCATTCAAAAATTACATTTGTGTTGCCTTGTGCAGTGGCGTCAGAGACCCTGAGAGACCTTATGTGGAGCCAAATTCGTCAGCTACGCAGCCTGCATTTCTCACAGGTGTCCAGTTTGCCAAGCATGGGCTGGACTTATACCTTTGAGAACAAAACTGTTTCTCAATTCTATGAAATGCTTTGGGTTAATGAAAAGTTTCGATAGTAGTTTTGGTCTCCTTTGAGTGTAAATATCTTCGGTGGCAAAGTGTTACAAGTTCGAACTTTCAAAATGGGTTTCCTTGCGGCTTTTCAACTTTTTGTGTATAAATTAACTTTTTGGTACGCTTTTTACGGGCTGACAAGTCTCGTCGGTCTTGGCAGGTAGCTCATTTAGGGGAGCAAAATTCCGATTCCAAACCTCCACTTTAGTGCAGCATACCCTCTTATGCGAAACGCTGAGGGAGTAAACCATGAAAGACAATCGGGAGCAGAGCATTTAAGGCGGTTTGACCTGAAGCCTCAACACCGATAACTTCTGCGGCGGTGTTAAAACCAAGCGGTATTGATTTCGTCTTTCTTTTGGCCACTTTGGCAGTGAAGAGTGGAGGCCACTGCCGAATGAGCAACATTCAAGGAGCAGCGTCATTGCCTCCTAATGCCGCGGTGGACGTCTGCCGACGAAGAATTTTATGCTTACAATTAGTTTATTCAGCAAACATGATTGCATAGCAATTTTTACATGTAGAATGAGCCAGATTTCTGCCAATTGGGTGCTTGATTTCAGGACAGTATAACTATTTTACAGTATAACAATTTATAACCATCATATTGGTAATTTACATAAATGCGTTGAAACCTTACAAATAAAGATCTTTGTCTATTTTTCAAATTAGAAAATGCTATCAAATTTTCACATACTAATTGACCATTGTTACTAAACATTCGTGTTTATGTTTGCATCTATGAAAATCAGAGAAATTTTTTTAATTAGTCAGTTGTTGTCCGCAACTCGACCATTCCTATTGAAAACTAATTTATTAACAAATCTTAGAACAACTGTGAGTTTTCATTATTACCTCTGCCTTTATTTGGGAGTTTTTGTAAATGAACAACCGGAGTAAAATTCCATCAACAATTTCGCAAATTAATTAGACTCCCAAACTATTTTGAAACTAAAACGATTTTTCAGCCCAAAGTCCAGATTCCAGTGATACTAAAGTTTCGTTACAAAAATAATAAAAGTTAACATATTTCCTTTAAACTAGAAATTTAAATCAAGAAGAATAAATTTCTATCCAAAATGCATCCCTTGCCATCACATTTTTCGTTCTGACGGATAACGAAGTTTCCAGCGCCCGCAGCATAGATTAAGATCATCATAATTCTCCGCTGCTGGACTCTTCAGCACGCGTATTGTTTTGACAACATGAAAAAGGAATTTAAAAACTAGGGAGAGGACACAGAAATTTAAAATATCTTTATGAAGTAAAACAATTCAGAGTTCAGCACCATCGCCAATTCGGCAACCTAGAAAGAAAATACTACCATTGTATATATATTATAAAATTCAAATGCAAACATTAAAACCTAAAATTTGTAAAAAAAGACAAATCTGCCCAAAATAAGATAGCAAAACTTACCTATCAGCTAACAATCTCAAATGGATGGGAACTGAGAGAGGAATTTAAACTAGGCTTCTGTTTGAGAATATAAAGGCCATAAAATTCGTTAGTTAGAAAGATCGCTAGTATAGAAGTTGAATTTTTGTAGTCGCGTCGGGCACCGGGATACCGTACTTCTCGGCATGAATTCCAACTGCTAAATGAGGGGAAGATGCAAGTAAATTTCCTAGACGATAACTCCTTCCTTTATGCTCAGCAACTCTAGAATACAAGTTGAGTGACATCATAGCGACGTACGCTGATGCGCATTGCGCATAACTGAAATTGTAAATTAGTGACGATGGCATTAGTCAAGGAGTGTTTTTTTATACCTGAAAAAAGAGCTGATCTTGAAATAATTCATTAACAATATCCGTAGATTGACATTTAGAAAGTACCCTCATGACTAAAACTTTCAAATATTTAGACATGGTTTCAGATGCTGGGCCGAAGCATGGGAATGAACAGTAAACAAAGGTTCTATCTTCACATTGGGGAATAACTTCAGTATATGGTTCAGGCATAAATTTCTTGATTTAAGTAAACACCATGCGAGACGGGATCCCATTAGTGAGAATTGAGCAAAATTTAAAATTCAGAGTGCTTGGTATGGAAAGTTGAGAAAATAAGAAAGTCGCGGTGTATTAGTTTTTGAATACCATTTGAATTGAACTAGTTGTTCGATCAATAATCAAAATAACTAACCCATTAGGAATTTTAAAGCAAAGAAAACGCCAAGAAAATTCACCATATCGATATTGAAAACGTTTCGGAGTCCAGCTCCATCATCAGTTCGACTAAACTAAAAATTAATAAAATCATTTTATAAGTCAAAATTCAATGACAGATATAAAACCTAAACAAGACCTAGCATTATATCGAAATAAACAGGACTAAATTGGAACAACTTAGTCCTAGGGCTACGACAAGAATATAAAATCCTAGCGATTCACTATTTCCAGATTATATGAACTAAACGCATTATTGAAACAGGTTTTCGTTTGAAGATATATAGAGACTCCAAAATTCTCAAATCCGAGCAGCCAGATGTGGAACCGAGTATCCTGAAATCACTCTCAGACACAGCCACGTCGCACTGTTCAGCATGGAGGCGCACGGAAGAATGCGGAGGCTTGGAGAGAGGCAAGTTAGAACGATAGCTCCTGCCACGGTGTTCAAAAACCCGGATGTATAAGTTACGCGACGTCATTCCAACGTACGTATAATTTGACGTTGATGTGATGAAATCCAAACAATGATTGATCATTAAATTGATCATTGATTATTAAAGGTGATGTTCTGATCACGACCATTAAAGCACACGTGAGTGTATAGGAACTTTAAGCATAAATTCCTTCTGATATTACGACGCAATAAGATTATTAATAAGTGAAACACTATAACCTAAATTCCCCATCTGCCCTGGTCACCGAAACCAAGTAACGACCTGACCAATTATGTATCAATTAAAGAACGAGTAAACATGCCAGCATGTCCTGCCATCATCTAATCAATAAAACATGTTGACTCCGATTTGCTCCTTCTTGCATAATTATTTCATTTTTAGCGCATTTTCTCATTTATGAAAAAAATGCACTACTTTGCTCGCCATGTCCGTCCGTCTGTCTGTCTGTCCGAGACTTCACGAGACGGACGAGAAATGCGCTCTCTGTCACTCACTGCAGTGAGTACTGAGTTATATTTTTTGTACTATTGCGAAATGCACAAATTGAGGATTTATATTTCATTTGTCCTAAGCATTCTACTACCGGAATAATATGTATAGCGTGATAATAAATCCGAACTAGTACGGTAAAATCTTTGAAAAAAGTGTCGAAATAATTGAAATGGGACTATATGCAGTGATGTATGTATAACTACATCCCGGATAAACACACTTCGTGATGCGCATATGTACCATCTCGGGTTCAACGTTATTAACCGTTAGCGGCACCGACAGTCCAAATTCATAAGATGACCAGACTATCAATTTAATGGTGGTCTCATCTTCCTGGTCGACTCGTGGTTCACGTGATAAACATTCTTGCGACGAGTGTTATAGTCTGTGTCATGTCACGTGACTGAACGACTTGGTGTCAAATCTAAGAATAAACCGAGCATGGGATGCAGTTTTAGCCAAAAATTAATAGATACATTGAAACACACTTTATATATTATTTTCTGAACAGCATATATCGATTTACTGAACAGCGTAACAGTGCTCGTTGCTGTCGAAGGATGGCTCCAATGATTATTTAATCGCTTTTTTTTTACAGCGTAACAGTGCTCGCTGCTGTCGAAGGATGGCTTCAATGATTATTTAATCGCTTTTCTTTACAGCGTAACAGTGCTCGTTGCTGTTGAAGGATGGCTACAATGATTATTTAATCACTTTTCTTTACAGCGTAACAGTGCTCGTTGCTGTCGAAGGATGGCTTCAATGATTATTTAATCTCTTTTCTTTACAGCGTAACAGTGCTCGTTGCCGTCGAAGGATGGCTCCAATGATTATTTAATCGCTTTTCTTTACAGCGTAACAGTGCTCGTTGCTGTCGAAGAAATGCTCCAAGTCAGCTCGTTGGTCGGTCTTGTCGTTGTAGTTGAGAGCCTCGCAAAGTCTGCACATGTGGTACACGGGAGACTGGAAGAACCCGTGTTCGTTGAGTACCCGGTACCGTCTCCTCCAGTAGTGGTACTTCTGATACTCAGCAGGATGGTCTAAAAGGTACCTGAAATGAAAACACAAAATGTAGCAATCATCGGATAAGAGAGGCGAAGCGGAAGTCTAGCATGAGTACGCCATTGAAAGATGTCACATACTTTCGTTCAACTAACGTTGATAGGAAAGAGGGTTAATTTGGTGTTTTATTCCGTACTGAACTGCGTAATTTTTCATATTGAAATGCATTGGTGAACTTGGTGAGCGACTAACATACTGGTTGCGCGTACAGGTGTCGGAAAAATTTACGGCCGGACTAGCGGCCGGAATCGCGGCCGGTCTCACGGCCAATACCCAAATTCAGTGACCAAGGAATATTTTTCAAACTAATGAATGCAGCTCGATGAAGCTTGGTACACGTATTCATTAGGACCTCATGGTGATGCTTAGCTCGTAAAAATTGTTTCAATTTCACCTTTATTCGTGAATTAATACGGCAATTCTGGCCGAAGCTTGCAGTGACCAAGAAATTTCTTATACAGTCCACCATATTTATGGCAACGGATGTTTGCTATATAAAAATAAAGTGGTTTCTAGGAGACTTTTCTTTTATAATGAAGCTTAATATCATCTATTAATTCATATATTTTACAGTGCAGAAGTCTAAGGTGTCAAAATTTACTATTACGTATGGCAGTAGATAGAAATGCAATTTCAACCCTTCATGAAAAGGGCGAGAGTAATTCAGTCATTGCAAAAAAGCTCCAAATTCGTAGTGAAACTGTGTGGAAGGTGGTAAAAAAATTCAACGAAACTGGCGAAACATGCAATCGACCTGGTCAATGAAGGAAACGAAGTGTCCGAACAAAACAATTGGTCAAAAACACGAGGGAGAAGTTGAGGAGAAACTCTCGTCGTTCAGCTGCAAAATTGGCTGCAGAAGCAGGAGTTAGTCAGACATCAATGCGTAGAGTCCTGAAAGATGACCTCAAAACCTCCCCTTACAAGATGCAAACAAGGCATGAACTAACAAACCGTCATGAACGAATGAGGCTCGAAAGATGACAGCACATTCTGTATCTCATTGAGGATGGCACGCTGCCCAACTTGGTGTTCAGTGACGAGAAAAAATTTGATATTGAACAAATCGTTAACCGTCAAAATGACAGAGATTGTAGTCGGGATTTATCTGTGGCATCCAGAACAGCAACACGACGTCAAAATCCCATGTCCATGATGGTTTGGGCCGCGGTAACCGCCACTACGAGGTCCCCACTCGTTTTTGTCCCCTCAGGAGTGAAATTGAACAGTCAGCGATACATTTCGGACATTTTGGAAGCTGTGTTGTTACCTTGGGCCCGTAAACGCTTCAACGGCTCACCATGGAGTTTTCAACAACCCCATCCCATAGCTCAAACATGACCCAAAACATAGCGTTCATTAGTAAAAGTGAATGGCCATCAAGAAGCCCTGATTTGAATCCTCTCGACTTTTCTGCGTGGGCTATTTTAGAGAGTAGGGTCTGCAGAACACCTCATGATTCTTTGGATAGTTTGAAGTCTAAATTGACACGAGAATGGGACTTGATCCCTCAAGAAATGCTGCGTGTCTCCTGTGAAACTTTCCCGCGTAGATTGGAGGCCGTAATTAAAAATAAGGATGGTCATAATGAATGAATATGTCTGAGAATTGTTTAGGTAATTCTTGGCTACTAGCTCATCCAATAAAAAAACAATGCACCTGTTTGTTTCATTGAGAAATAACAAAAAACATGCGTTGCCATAAATATGGCGGACCCAGTAAACTACTGAACAGGATCGAACGAATTATTGATTATACATTTCTAACCTCCCAACGGTGATGTTTAGCTCGTGACAATTTTTTCGATTTTGCCTTCGTTTGCTAGTTATACGGCGAGTTTGCACACTCAACGCAAATTTGAAAATCAGTTTCAGAAATGCCTGCCATTTCTCCGTGTATCCGTATAACTCGCGAATGAAGGATAAATAGAAAAAATTGTCACAAGCTAAACATCACCGTTAGGGGGTTAGGAATAATATTCAAAGTTTCGTTCAAATCTGTTCCGTAGTTTGGAAGAAATTTCTAGGTCACTGCGAATTTAATTTGGCCCGTTTTGTTGTATATCTCACGAATGAAGTTGAAATAAAAAAAATCGCAAACGAAGGTAATATCAAGAAAATTGTCTCGAGCTAAACATCATCGTTGGGAGGCTAGAAATGCTTATACAAAGTTTCGTTCAAATATGGTCTGCAGTTGTAGAGAAATTTCTTGGTCACTGCAAATTTCGGCTCAAATTGCCGTATAATTAACAAATGAAGGTGAAATGGAAAAAATTTGCATGGGCCAATCATCACCGTTAGGTTGTAATGAATACGTGTACCAGGTTCCATCGATCTGCGTTAATTAGTTCGGGAGATATTACTTGGTCATTCAATTTGGAGATTGGCCACGAGGCCGGCCGCGAGTCCGGCAGTAAATTTGCGTGAGACCTGCTGCGCACTGGCATGGCTCTGCGGATGAAAAACCATCATTGTCGAAGCTCACCGTGGCTCAGAAAAAGAAACTCCACAGCAGGCCTCTCTTCAATAATTTTAGACGAGTTTTAGCTTTGGAAACTGATCATGGAGAAGCAAATATAGATCTCGTCAGTCCGCGACTTATGAATTACATTTTCCCAGACTAGCACGATGATCGGGGACAAAAATCAAAATATTCAGAAACTTCCAATAGCAATGTTGTTGTTAAGCAGTAATTTGAATTAATTAATCTCCCATAGATATTATCATATTGTTTATCGACAGACAGGCGTTCTCCGCTTTTCAATTCTAAGCCTAGTAGTTACACCTAATCACACACAAAGAACACACCGAAAGGAGTGCCCAAGGATCATTCCTCTCACCAGCCCTTTTTAATCTTTACATGCATGATAATCCAGCTCCAATTGACCACATTCACATTTTTTCGTACGCAGACGATATCACATTAATTACATCAACACACATCAATGCTAACACATGCTCCACACAAGTACGATCCTTACATCACACAGCTGAGGGCTGCTAGCACGCAACAGACTCAAAGTAGCCCCCCACCAAATCAACAAGCACACTACTAACAAGCCACACAAAGAAGCATCAACACAGATCCACAGTCACTCTAAACAACACCATCATACCACACACACATGAAACCAAGGTTCTAGGTGTCACTTACAACACTTCCATGTCTTTCGGGCCACACATACAGGACATCAAAACAAAATGCAGACCTAGGCTAAACACACTCAGCGCACTCACAGAAACAACATTCGGACAAAGCAAAGAAACCCTCACGCTAGTGTACAAACAATATATACACTCAGTGAAGGGCTATGCCAGCCCAGCATGGGCATCCCTAATTTCACCCGCACCTCACAGCCACCTACAAACCATACAAAAGACAAGACTTAGAGCTGAACTTGGAAGCACCCAAACCTCACCATCCAGCCACATCTACGCAGAAACCAAAGTCTTCTTTCTAGAAATCAGTCAAATCACCTAGATATGTAAGGCACCCAATTCCTCGCATCTGCACTCTACAATCCCTCAGCTCCTGCCATCACTTTCAGCATTAACCCCTTGCACCCAGACAAATAGCAAACACTCCATACAGCTACTATCTCACAATACTTAAACGTCTTACCCCCGCCCACAGATCCAGCCAACTTCATCAAACTTATATGTAAACAAGCATCTAACCAGGAACACACTCTCGAATCCACCAATCAACAATATCATTGATAATTGGTAGATTATATTTATTCCATTCTACTTTTAACCCAATGTTGAAGATTTGACGAACTCCGTAAGGATAGAATGAGCGGCGCTCGATCAGTCTATCCTTAATATAAAAATATTATTTTCTGGTCAGGTTTTCGGCAAATAATGAAAATGTCTCAGTCATGTCTATAATTTTTACATGACATTGTTTTAGGTCCTTTCTTTACCTTATTTGCAACTAAACTAATGGGTTTGACTAGTAATTTACATGATTAATTCGTCTAATTTATCTAGCAAGCTGTGGCAATACAATTGAAGGTAAAATAAACTAACTCAAAAATCTGCATAAGGAGATGAACTGATCAATTTAAGTTAGCGATTCAACGTAATATCCTGAAGCGATCCTTCATCAAATCCTGCGCTGGCGCCAAGATATTCTTGCATTTAGGCCATAAGTTCACGACTAACGACTGTCATCCTGAAAAAACGCTAAGCACTACTTCAAATGGAGCTGTCCATGAAAATCGTTCAGTATTTCCAAATATAACGTTTTGTAATTAAAAATAACTTTCACATGAGGAAGAATATCTACAACTAGAAATGCACTTACTGTAGGTGTTGTGCCAGATGTTCGGGGCCTTTGAAGTCATCGACGTGAATAAAAGAGTTCGGGGGCAGCAGCTTCTGATAATTGTGTTTAGGCGCCCCCATCACCACAGGTACAGCAGACTTGTTCAATGCGTTCCACCACACCTGCCCTCAATTGAAACATCAATTAACTCTTTGAGCCATTCATGTAGTAAACCATTAGATCGCAACGTTGAGTTCAACCTGAATGGGGAAACAAATCGATGAAACGAAACAGATGTAGGCAAAAGACCATAAAAAAAGCCTGCAAAATAACGTTGAACCCTTAATGAACAGTGTGGAATTTTTCTTTTTCTTTTCATATCGTGTACTGCCGTGCTATATTTCACACCCAATGAAATGAGTGAGACATTGTCCAAAAGGCTACTCATCCTTTGCTTTTGTGTGGGTCATTCTGCTGATCTATTTTGCCCACCATGCAAGAGTGTCATTTAGTACTGAAAAAATGTGACACTTATGTTCAACATGACCCATTCATTGTTTTGCGTGATGCAGTAAGCCAAGATATACGAGAAGAATCACTTAAAATATCAAAAACTCACCTTCTCTGTCACGTAGTCGTCGCAGTTTGAGTTTTCGAACGCCAAGTAGAACTTATAATCGTCCAACTTGTCGCAGTTTGTGTAAAAATGTCCCTCGCATTTGAGCGGCCCACACCCGCCATACACGTCAATCTCGATGTATTTCTGCAATTCGGCCAAGTACGTGTACCGTCCGTTGCTGCCTCCGCAATTAGAGCCCATCAAGGATATATTTTTCGTCTTCAATTTATAAAAATCCTCTAATGCCTCTACATACTTTTCTTTGGGCAGGGCAACAGTTCGTCCGTATGGTGTTGGCACACTTGAGTCCATTCGGTAGGTCATCGACCAGTTGAAAAACCCGTTGAAATGGCTTAGGTTGCGGTCACTCGACACCATCATTACGTGATAGGGACTTTCGTCAGCCAACCACACCCAGAGCTGTCCGGGGGCTCTTGGTACGTCAACTGGAGGACCAGGGATAAGGTGCATGTGGAACAGCACGATGTCGGCCGCCATGATGTCACCATCTGGTGATGTTACTTTGCAGTTAGTCACAGAACAATCTTCAAATGGATCAAATTTCTTAGAAGAGCCGACTTTGAAAAATCGTTCATCAAGTTCACCGGAAAATTCTTTATGATTCCAGATATGGATCGTGAAAATTCTATCTTGTTTAGCGCCAATATTTTCGTTCAAGAACATGCGCCGACCGAGTACTGACAAACGACTGATCTCGGCTGAAGTAAGGTTCCTCCAGTTGTAGTCAGCGTCGTTATTTTCTCTATCAGCATCCACATCCAATTTTGTTTTTGGATTGATCTTAAGTTCCGGCTTATCTAGACCATCGATCCCCCTGGTCCCATTTTCGTCATCATCAGGAACTTCCTCCAAGTACAGTACATTAGTTTCTGAGCTATACCTCAATGTTGGATAATCTCCAGCCACTAAAAACACGAGCCAAATGAGAAGTGCAGCCGCCCCTATTAGAGCAACAAGATGCTTGCCGCTACATGGACGCCGCAGTAGTCCCAATACTGACTCTTTCGTCTTGCGAAGCATCACGTACATCGGAAGGCGACTATGAGAGTATCAAATTGAAGCGTGTTTCTTTGTATGTGTTGACATTATAACGTAATATCTTTCCAATAGAAATACAGTAAATTGAGATTTCCGAAGCACTCTGAAAATGAGATAAGACAATTAATGTAAACTGACCTAGCAGACGCCTAAAATTATGAATCACACATTAAGATCTTCAATTTGTTGACCAAAAACGTATGTGCGCATCGCCTTAAAAAACACTAAAATATACGTGAGACCCTGCAGACTTTTGATATGATCGGGACAATTCGTACTACTCCGTGACGTCATTTAAAAAATGCATCGATGACGTCGCGACGAAATTACTCTAGCATTAACTTGAATCGCGCTTTATTTATTTGCACTGCAATAGTTCGATGCAGCGGTAGCACTAGTAGAGTGTCCATTATCCAATTTGTCTCACTATTACATCCAAACTATACCATACAGCAGAGCCAGCATGAGGCTGCAAAAAACTGGCGTGAATTCGTCCGTCTTAGCGCTGATGAAGATACACTTAGAAGTTATATATTCATTCATTAATTTATCAGCCTTGAATTAATTCAACCTGGACGTCTACGGCATAATCTCCGCCACAGTCAATCCTCAATTATTGCACAACCGCTGCAACGCAAAAGCAGTAGAACTTTTTAAACCGTTTGTGGCGGTTGATAGAGCGGCATTAGTGGGTGTCGATTCCATGTTATAATAACAATAACATAATAATTTCACTTCATAAAGTCTTCGGTTACCTCTAAAAACCTAAAATTTTATTTTACGTGGTACCTAGCAAAAAATATTTAATATAAGAGAAATAAAAATAATATACAAATGAACTTGAATAAATGCATTGGAAGAAACAACTATAGAAATTTAGGCAGTTTAACTTATGAAAAAAATGGTTCCAATCATTTTTCGACCTTATCGGAAGGAGCTACGTGTACTTTAAGTAATTAGCTGACGAATTGCTTCGAAAAATGCCATCAAATAAAGAGCATAAGTGTCGTTGCGATCGAAAGCCACACTGTAGTTGAAGTGAGGCTGGAAGTTCATGTCTGGTTAAGGTTGGCAGTATCACTCTGGTTGAGGTTGGTTGTTTCACTCTGGTTGAGGTTGGCAGCATCACTCTGATTGAGGTTGGAAGTATCACTCTGGTTGAGGTTGGAAGTAGGCTATCACTCTGGTTGAGGTTGGTAGCATAACTCTGGTTGAGATTTGTTGTATCACTCTGGTTGAGATTGGTAGTGTCACTCTGGTGGGGTTGGGAGTATCACACTGGGTGAGGTTGCTTTTTTATTTTGCACGAGAAGGAGGTGGTGGACCGTTGTTGAACGATAGAGCACAACATGTCTTGGTGTAATCCAAATCTCAGCCTATTACGTCGCAACATATGTCCATAAACAGCTATAGCCTCATGTCAGTGGCAGCTGGAACATGCAGCTTCGATTTCATTCTCTGTATTTCGTTTTATTTCTAGTAACCAAGGTTGCTCGGAATTTAAATCTGCAATTGGTCGACCAGTTCTAGCTGAAGACAGATATTAATGCAAGTTTTCTTCTTTAGATTGACCGCAGTAAATGAAGTGCTTCACTAGCAGCTGATTTATGATTATTTAACGTTTAGAGAATACCTAACGGCACGTACGACCGGCGCTACATTTTCCAACAACAACAATTCAGCGTTTGATCTTCATCGTCTTTGATTCGTCATGAATTTAAAAATCTCGGTTTAATTCTTTTTACTATTGAATATATGAGAAAACCAGCCCTTCCTTTTGGCATCGAAGAATTTGTCACTCAAAAATATTACTTGAAAGAAAAATCGTTTATTTTTCACTGGTTAATCAGTGATTTCGATTTCAGCTAGCACTCGAAATTAGAAACAAGTATATCAAGGATAAGGCTTCACAATGTAAATTCCCTGCAATTCTCGATATACACTATTTCAACCCGACAAATTAGTAGTTGCATATTAATATTCAAATCCAAAAAATAACACTAGATATCACTCGTTTTTAGTGCATTTTCCCATTTATGGAAAAAATGCACTATTGTGCTCGCCATGTCCGTCTGTCTGTCTGTCCGTCCGTCCGTCCGTCCGTCCGTCCGTCCGTGACCTCAAGTTTTCGTCGACGAGAAAATGCGCTCTCTGTCACTTACTGCAGTGAGTACTGAGTTATATTTTTCTTTAGTTGATACGAACACAGCACAATTCTCCACACAACCATCCCCGGTAACAGCTGACTGCCTAGTGCCTGGATAGGTTTAAGATGAGGTTCAGCTTAGCAGCAGCTGTGAGGCCACCACTGAGCCTTGCACCTGGGCCCCATGGGCCCCATGTTGACTGTGTAATAAAGTAAAGCGCTTCCGCTGGTTACTTAAAAACCGAACTCTAGACCTGCAAGCAAATCTTGGTGAACAACGAGAGTGCAAACCAAGCAATCGACGCTGATATTTCAAGCTTTTAACCCACCCCCCCCCCCATAAACTGAATTGAAAAACAACCCTAAAACAATAACGGAAATACTCGTTTCAGACGGAGCCACAAATTCAGAAGGTGCATAAGTGCTCAAAATTGTGCATTGCATTCAATCAAGTTTTTGGAAATTGTAACATTTATAATATGAAAAAATTATTATGCGAATAGGTGCAGCCGTTCTTAAAATAGAATGCACCTCTGACTAGAAGAACCCCAAAGCACTGAGGCTGTCGATAACTCTGGATATGATAGGGTCTTTGTGCCTCAAGATCGCATCGTCGCGCACGTTAAAATTCTTGAAACCGTCGCACTTACTCCTGAGTTCGGCTACGCAGTCCGCTCGGTAGTGTTGGAGTTGCGCTTCGTCGGTGTCAACAGGGTAAGATAAGCAACCGCCACCTATACAAGCAAGTGGATAATGATTGTGTAAAGTCATCACCCGCTCTGTATTATGAAAACACTTGATATAATGACCAGGTGGCGTGTGGTTCATCGCTCGGTAAATGTGTTGAAACATGTGCATGTAGTGAGGTATGTCTTCGGGGCGTGCGTGATCTGCGTTTCTCGTTTTCAGCGTGTCAAAAAAGTATACATTGCGAAAGTCGTATGATGAATATTCGATGTTTTGTCCTCCTTGTGCTCTCCTTGTAATGTTTTCCATTAGGTCTTTCCATAGCATATTGCTTCCCTTTGGCATGATAATTTCGTCAATGTCCAGCAGAGCTATGAACTTGAACTTGTTCATGTTTTTATACAGACAATCGTTGTATGGAATTAACTCGTTTTGATATTTATTCGTGATTCTGTTCATCAAATACATGTGTCTAATTCCCTTGATGTTAGGTTGATAGCCCGGTAGAGTGATCGATGTCACCTCTACCAAACCCAATTTCTTGTAGTAATTCAAAACTTTTGTGATGTTCGGATGAACTTCCAGTTCATAGAGAAATATTTTCTCGGCACCGAGGTGGCGCAGCGTCTCGAACCACTCCACGAGTCTCACACTTAAATCTTCTTTCGGGAAATCAAGGCCCTTCACGCACACCGCAAAATCACCTTTTTTCCGCCCTCAGGCAAGTTGTTGATTACCATCAAGTTAGTGACGGCCATGTCGCAAGGTTTTTCAACGAGTGACACTGATTCTGGTACAAGATGGCGATAGTCAACAGGAATTTTGCAAGACCACAAGTAAGGCTGGAAAATTCCATTTTTGTGATTTCCCCACTCTTTTACCCAAACGAACTGATACCTAAAAACCTCGGCGAAAACAGGAGCCTCCAATCCATCAAACCACAACTGGCAAATTGTTTGCACTGTTGGCTCAATTCTATTAATCATACCAAGCATCCTCACAACCGGTTCCATAGCTAATAGAGTTCTGTTATCGTAGTAAGCACCGTAGAGGTGGAAAGTTCCATTTGATGTCTTCAAAGTTTGCCAGTACACATTATTAAATTGCAAATCAATGAGCGAGGGGAATATGGCACATGTGGCATTCTTGGCAGGAAATTTGTTGTTCAGTGACTGCCAGTACCTGATAGGCAAATTAGGAATTTCGCTCTGCAGTATCTTGGCATATTCTGAGTCGGGTAGAGAAGGTGAGTTGTCAACCAAGGGTTTTGCCATTAGAAAGTTGTAGTTTCTTGACGATGAGCCATCTGTCGTGTTGAACTTCTGCATCAGAAGCCGACCACTCTCTGTGTAAGAGGGCCAGAAATTCGTCGTGCGAGAATACCTGCACAATTAGCCGGGTATTGGTGGGATGCATGGGAGTAGAACTGATATGAAATTTTAATGCATCAGGGCCCATTGAACCGTCAGACCACATTTCAATAATCATTTCATTAAAATCCCGTAAAAATATGCATTAGTCCCTTCAAATCATTTAATAGAAAAAACTGAGCCTGTTATAGAAGAACACCATCATTATACACACAGTATTTTCACAACCTGACCCATA